AAAGTATATAATGGGAAATACCGTAGGTCAATGGATGTTTGGATGATTTATTAAATTGTATTACGTTTTTTATTCCAGTAAAATTTTTGGAAGGTCAAAAGTCTCGGACTGTAAAATTTGCAGATGGTACAATTTTCGGACTCCAAATTAGCTTTATCATGTCATCGATAACTGTGCTGAGCATTGAAACTAATAATGCTAAAAAGATTTACTTTCGTGATTTCATCAACGCTTTTGCCTGAAAAGGCCCGTAAAGTGATACTAAAAAAGTTTTGAAAAACCATATCGGATAGAGAGGGGCGCAGAAGTTTACTCACATTTATTGTGATTAAATGTAATGTTGAGATTTTGGGGAAAAGGACATGCAAAATTTGTTTAATAATTTTTATGTGCTTTAAAGATTTTATTTGCTTTGCGGAATTATGGGCATAGTTTTCATCTTGTTTGCGGAATTATGGGTCACATTTTTCAGACATTTGCGGAATTATGGGTCCAAATTTTTCAACCAAAATGGCACGTCCTCGTCAAAAATTACGCTTTGTTTACCCCCCGAGCCTAGGGTATTTTGCATAAAATAACCCCAGACCGGCTGATAGGGAGAAATATCTAAAAAGATGAACGACCAGATTATATAGAAAAGGGCAATAATTATCAAAAGTCAAAATAGAGAATGGTGAAATGGTTGAAACTATCAAACGTCTACCAAAAAACAAAGCAACTGGAGTCGACCAAACCCCTGCAGAACTACTGCAACACATGAGAGAAGACGGATTAAAAATCATTAAAACCATCATAAATGATTGCTACATACAATACAAGTACTTGGCTCGAAGATTTCTTAAAGTCCACCTTTATCACCAAGCTAAAAGTAGTTAACACAATACTATGAAACGAAAATTGCACTATCAGTCTTATATCCCATGCCTCCAAAATATTATTACAGATTATGAAGAGACGAACTTCACCCTTAGCAGAGTGAAAACTGGATGAAAATCAACTCGGTTTCAGAAAAGGAAAAGGAACTCGAGACGGTATCTGCCTGCTTCAAATACTCAGCGAAAAGATGATTGAAAAGAGAAGAAATTGTTTATATACTTTGTTGACTACACGAAAGACTTGGACAGAGGTAAACACAACAAGTTAATTGAAATCTTTGAGAAATACGAAATACTACGGGAAGAAATAAGACTAATCAATAACCTTTATTGGAATCAAATAGCTATAGTTAAAACAAAAAATGGTGAATCAAGAAGTTTTAAGATCAAGAAAGGGGTCCAGCAGGGCTGTATTCTATCACCAATTCTGTTCAATATGTACAGCAAAGAACTTATACAAGAAGCTCTAGAGGACACAGCAGGAATCAAAGTAAATGACATCAAAATGACAAACATCAGATACGCAGACAACACCATCATTACTACGGAAACAGAAGAAGAGCTCCAATCTATGATAGTAAGGCTTATTAATGAAGAATGCAAAATCTATGGAATGGAATTAAACGCGAAGAAAACAACCTACACCACGATTTCAAAAGTAGGGGGGCCAAGGCTTTTACCCCTTTTACTGCAACTTTATAACTACTTACTTCGCAAAAAAAGTGGGGGGCCAAGGCTTTTCCTCCTTTTACTGCAACTTTAAAACTACTTGCTTCTCGAGGAAAGTGGGGGGCATGGCCCCTCCGGCCCCCTGGTGGCTTGGGCCCTGAACAAAGATTCAAATAATACCTGAGAAAGTAGTCTTGGAACAAGTAAAAAGCTACTGTTATCTTGGAACATTGATTGCCGAGGATGGGCAATGATTAGATGAAATAAGGAAAAGAAACGCGACAGCAAAACTGGCATTCCAACGCCATAAAGAATTGTTAGTCAGTAATATAAACATAAACACAAAAATGAACACCCTAACAACGAATATATGGTCAGTTTTTACTCATAGATGCAAGGCATGTACTATAGGAAAAGTGATAAAAGAATATATACATGCATTTGAGCTATGGTGTTACAGGAGAACGTTGAAAATCAAATGGACAGATAGAATTAGAAATGAGGAATTATTGCAGAAAATGCATACATTCCCTAAGCTGAACGACACCATTAAAAAAAGGAAAGCTACGCTTTGTGGGCATGTTGCGAGAGGATCAAGTGGCACAGTAATTTGTAACATGATGGAGGGGTTTATTCCAGGTAGAAGATCTCGTGAAAGACTAAGAATGCTATGGATAGATGATGTAAAAGAGTGGGCGAACGTCTGGGGTTATGGTATGCTGAAAAGATAGTCTAAGGGATAAGGATACGGCTTGGTGGATATAATGGTTAGAGGCCTACGGATCACGTAGCTGTTGGTCTGAATGAATGAAACAACAAAGTGAGGTATAAAGCCCATTCTAGCCTAGGCAAGTTATAAACCCAAGAAGGTGGGGGCTCGTGGCTCTTATGCCCCGGGGCCCGTTCCACCTAGCGGCGGCCCTGGCTTCTCTCATTACTTGTGAAGTCCGTCCCCCGAATAATGCTATCAAAAAAGCATTGTGAGTATTTGTCATCTCTATGTTATTTGTCTACTTCAAAATTCGAGCCAGTGGAATGGGGGGGATTAGTCCCCCCCCCACTTTTTCAGAGAGTTGGTCCTTGAGATTCTTGCAAACCTGATGAGAAAACTTCAGAGGGGGGTATGTACGTTATCTAGATCGTCACATGTAAATGACATTTCTTGGGAGACCTTTTGTCCCCCCCCCACTTATCCCAGGCTGGAGCCGCCACTGGTTCGAGCCCAAACCGGTTCCAAAAAGATCCGTATCCATTTGAGTTCACTCAGGCATTCTGTTTACACAAAACCTGTCTAACCGTACTTATTTGCGTTCACCTACCTACGTACGCAAGCATACACATTTGGAACTTTATTTCTCTGTCCTGTCCCTTGAGTATTTGACAACAGGAAGTTCCTACAGCCCCCCGTCCTGTTCCTGATAAGTACCCTATTACAGAGCATGGCATAAAATTTTGCAAGAGTAGAAGTCACTCCAGTCCTGTTCAGACTGGTAAATTGTCTCTTTGAATCAATCTTATTCAAGAAGCTTACCAGATCAGATTTAATTATGCTTTCCTGCTGAAGACGTTTAAATTGGGTGATCGAAATATTCATTAGCAGTTGAGAAAATACTCAAAAATACGCTATTCTGGCAACAGAAGTAATGGCGATGAGAGCATTTTTGCCACGCGATGAAGCTGTTAGAACATTGCGTTCAGCATGGGACGAGGAAAAATATTGCGACCCAGCTTCGTTCCAACTCTTTATTGAGAATTTTTTTCAAAGAATCTCCACAAGATTTTGCGTAAATGACAGTCTGTCTTATTATCAAGAGCTTTTCTGTGTTTCAAGGGATCTAGTGTGTATGTTCCAGGAGATACTTGAAGGCAAGGTAGTTTTTAGAGCAAAGGTCGACTTAGATTTCGAATTGGTAGAAACAAGAGTTTTCAACAAAGTCTGCAATGAGTTTTTCTGTCGTTTTGCACGAACAAGATCCTGGCATTCTATCAAGACGCTAGAAGAAATGTTTGCAGCATTAAAACGAAAGGATGAATACACCTATCAAGGAGTTGCCCTGAAAGATGTAATTGTGAAGTTAATCAAACACGGTGTCTTAGAAATGAGATACAAGAAAGAAGAAAAAAAGATGCCTGGATTTAATCCTAACTTGTTATATGGTAAGTTTACAGCGCACCTGAAAGATTTGGGCGACAGTAAACCAGAGGACCGGGCAGAGCTGCTCGATGAATTCAATAGAATGTTTCCCCATAACAGCGAAGACTTTACCCGGGTGGTTCAAAAAATGAAAAATAAGAAGTTTTTGAAGTTCACAAGTGGGCATGCAAGAATAATTTACTTGAAGGCCAAGAAGATAGCGACAAACCAGCACTTTGCCAAAGCTGGACGAAGTCAGTCAACACCAACCCCTGCAATCTCCAGTCTTGATATTAGGAAAATGAACGGCATTTTTGGCAGCAGAAGGTAACTTAATACCATCTTTGCATATAAAAATTCAAAATCTTTGAAGGGATACAATTTTATTGATTTAACCTGGTTAATTTACTTAAATTACTGTAAATTACAGTTACCTTGAAGATCCATATAGCTCTGAAAATTTACATATAATATGGTTTTGTATTGATAAATGCTAGTAAAATGTATCACTTCAAAGTGGATCGTACAACCAGTTTTCTATTCTGAACTAAATTGCCTACTCTTAGGATAACAAGAGCAGACCTGAACCTAGTCAAGAGACTGTCGCACAGGCCAATGGCTTTTTTCAAGATCATTTTTAGTAATAGTATAATTCTTAAATGCTTAACATTTGTTATGAGTTTTTCTAGATTTCTCCCAACTTGTTGTTTATTTTTTAACTTAGTTTTTCTCTCAAAAGTTATTATTTGCAGTTTTTATTATGGTTTCAAAGACCTCCCTAAGCTTTTAAGCTGATTTTTTATTAATTTTATCACAATTTCAGCCAGCTTCAAAGAGATGATGGCATACAGATAACATCAGACCATGATGAAGGTGTCATATCTAATGGAGGAGTTATCACTTTTTCCAAAGGGGCAGAGGGACAAAAAGTAGTAGTTACTATGAAAAATGCTACTTCGAAAAATCTGTCTGACATTATTTACTTCACTGGTTACAAGCTACTGGACAACTTTGATGGTGAATTTACAGTCAAAGATAAAATGAACATAGCAGAGAAACTGACGGTAATATATCTATATATTTTGAAATTATAGGATAAAAAACATAATATTTTCCCTGCAAACTAGGCTACTCCAATAGGTCACTAACTTTCCTTTCACAATTCATAGTTTTTTCAACAGTAAATGAGTAGAATCCGGTAGGAAACAAGAAGAGGCAAGTAGGAAACAAGAACAGGCAAGTATGAAACATATGAAATATGCAGAAACTGGTAGGAAAGACGTCAACTGCAGCTACGATTTTATTTATTTAGTGGAAATCCTACCTTAAGTAAGTTATTAATCTGGCATTTGTCATGGACGTCTGCAAAAGACTAGGGCAAAGGGGCAGTGTTGGTGCTGAGGGCAAAATAGTAGAATTTTTTCACTACTATTATTGATTATTTGTGAGGAGTGGGGGGATGCAAAATGAAATATTAGCATGGGTCTGTTCCACCCCTACTTCTGGGAATTTTGGAATCAAAGACTCTATGCCTAAGCATAATGTTGACAAAATTCTCCATGCAAGTGGGTATTAAATGGCGTTATCATTAATCAAAATGTTTGGTTTTACTAAAATTATGGCAATTATAAATGGGCTGATGGTAAAACCTTGATTGTCTGCTTTGTGGCAATACTCCATTGTTGCAGAATCATTGAGAGTGTTAAAAGGAAAATAATAAAATGCAAATCAAAGAATTTTTTGACATAAAATAAGCTTTACATCCTCGTTCTGATGATAGACAAAATAGTCAGTATCTTATAAGACGCAGTTAGTTTTTGAAGTTTCTTACTGTCTTCTGAAAAAGAATTTTCCGTTATCAAAGACCGACAGCAAAAAAGAGGAAATTTTCTATTTTTTCGAATTTTTCACATGGAAATTAACATAGTATTTGTTTAGGAGAACGTAAACCCAAAAAGTCTGATATGATATGCAGGTGTAGTATGTTCATCAGTCCCCCATGCAAAGGTGTCCCCTCTAACGGTCTCTCATGCAAAAGTGTTCCCTCTAACGGATATGTGTTTCAGTAACCCTCATGAATGAGGGACCAGGGAGTAATTGCAGAAGTGTACAGAAAAGCTTCAAGTATAGCAACTTATAATCTCAGCAAATAATCAAGCAACCTTTTGTTTTATCCCTGAATATAACTGTTTAGGAATTTACCATGGGGGCATGGGGGCTAGACCAGGAGTGTACTAACACCTCAAGTATTGGGGGGGGGGGGTATCAAAAAAAATTTCCCAAATATTCCGGTTTTCCATAAATTTTCCACAAATTTAATCAATGAGGATTTCAATGGAATGTGGGGGGTTCCACTATGCAAGTCCAAGTGGTGTTTTGCCTTTCAAAGTCTTCTTTTTGACTTGTCTTAACTACAGAAATAAAATTAAAGCTTCAGTACAGTTATCTCTTTAAAAGTTGCAAAATGCCTAAAATTTTTTTCTGTTTTCTTCAGAGTTTATGTCTCTCACCTGGAGAAAGTTACCAGCTAAGCATCTGGTATAACAACAAACGAATTGGAAAGAGCAAATGCCCATTGGTTTTAAACTTTGAAAACGATAATATACCTGGAAAGTTTGAACATTGCATATTTTTGCATGCTGAGACAACAAATCCAGATATTGATGAAATGAGGTCAAATGACAAGTACCAGCCCTTAGGCTCAAGGCAGACCATATATGATCCTGCTGTGGAAATCATCCCTGGCATCCCTCCTGATAGGTAAGAGGTAACAGCTTTATACAGATTTGTATTCTCGAATTAAGCCAGGGTTTCAGTCTCACTGACTGAAAGCAATTGGTTTTGCTTTGTTTGCTCATAGTTCAGGTAGATGCTGAAGAAGTTTTTTGCTTAATCAATCAGCCATCATGTTGATAAATCACTTTTTTTGTGCTTAAACTTAGTTATTTAGACTAGACAGTGTGTCAAGTTTTTTGGGGTGGACTTTTTGGCCTTTTTTTCGCCATGTAAATTGCTTCCCACGGTGGGCAAATCATTAGTGAATTGCCCACAGGGGTTTCATAAGGCTTATGGAATCACAGGGGCAATACTGTAAATCCTCGCATTCGCTCCCCCCCTTGAAAAAGGCCCCCCTCAAATAAGCCCCCACCATAGAACTACAAATTTTCAATGAGCCCCCTTTCGAATAAGCCCCCACTGCTACCGTAAATCTTCGAATTGCCCCCCCTCGATTTGTTGATTGTTGCCATCTGAAGTTGCCTTTGGTGTTTTATTGAATTACCACAAGAAATTCATACTTTTGGTAATAATTAATCAAATGTTCATAAAGAAATTCCTACTATAATATATGAGGTGTTTTAATGATGTCTTCTTGATGTCCACTATAATTTTATAAGCTTCCCCCCTCTTGAAAAACCCCCATCCAAAAATACCAAGAATAAACAAGCCCCCAGGGGGCTAATTCGAGGATTTACGGTATGTTAAAATCCTCAGGAATGAATGTTTTCAATTTTCACTTAGTTTTCACAAAACAAAACAGAATTAATTCATGTGTAAAGCGGAAGCCTATTGTAGCCATGTGACCTATCAATCAAAGTTGGTAGTGAGGCTAATTATAACCAGTTCCTATCACAACCCATGCAAGACACTGATGCCTACTACTTAAATTGCCAAACTAATTTCCCAGTAAATATTGAATTGTTTCTAAAACTCAATCTAAAATGGACAATGGAAGATTCCTAGGACCTTCCTCTGCTTGCAGTCCTATCCAATTTCAAATTTCCTACTGTTAAACATGGGATTGGGCAAAGAAAATTTTTCAACGATGCTCTAACCTTAAGCTTACGGCCTCTTTGCAAATTTGTTTAGTATCCTATTCTGAATAGTAGATTATTTGTCGCTTAAATTTAGGGACTTTTCTATGGAATCACAATTTGGTGGTTAATTGGTGATTAATTGATATTTTTTAGTGGTTCAAGCTCGAGATCAACAGTCAGCCTGGATCAGTTTAAAATTCCACGATACATTCATCACGCTATCAACAACCAAAAGTCCAAAGAATTTTCAGGTCTCAAAGCTTTGTTGAAAGAATCTGACAGTCCCGACAGCTACAGAAAACGCTTCCATAATCTTCTTTTTCTTGAAGAGCTTCAAATGGAGGTTGATATTCGAAGATACGACATGCATGATGTTGGAATGAAAAAATGCTCGACCAATGTGGCACTAGAGGTATGCACTTGACGGGCCGCGCTTTAGCGGAGCCCAGAGGTTAAATGATCTCAGAACTCTCTAGTAAGAAAAAAAATGTTGAGAAGTGTCCCAAAAATTCACCGCTTCCGCTCCTTCATGTGAATCTCAGTCTGTGTTGAATTTTTGGGGAATTAAGCTAGAATGAATGACTTCTTAAAACATATAAATGACCTAAAGATAGCATACAAACTAATGCAATGTGATAGAAAGCCAAACATAACTCTAAGCCAAACATAAATTTTTATTAGACGAGAGCTTTGTACAGCTGCAATGCACACCCTCAAATTCGCTATTTCTCCTGCTTCTGGGTTTTGAGAGAAATAAACGCCTCTACATGTCAATGTCTTATGTAGACTACCCGTGCTTATATCAACAAAGGGGAATTAAGCTAGAATGAATGTCTGAAATTCAAAGTAACTGCTATGTGGACGATTTCATAGCTTCAAACTTATTCTAATGTACAGTTTAATCCGGTTATAACGTACTTTAAGGGACCAGTGTATTGAGTACGTTATATCCGAAGTACGTTGTAACGAGGGTAAGTAAAAACCAAGCACATATTTTGCCGGGAGCAAGCACACCAGTACGTTATATCCGAAAGTACGTAATAACCGAGTACGATATAACGGGATTCTACTGTATTGAGTTAATATGTCCTCTATATGGGCCATATTCGATTAAGGCACACGCCTGACTTCTTCGAAGCAACAATAAACTGATACGTAATAATTTTGACATGTTTAATACTGGCTATTGTCTTTCGTATGACTCATATGATAGTTTTCTTTCATAGGTCCCTGGACTTGCAGAAGGAAAGCCTTCTCTTATCATCGGGGACAAAGTCTATGCACGCCACAAATCCTCTGGGTCACAAGAAAGTGCAAATAAAAAGGAGTATGAAGGCTATGTACATGTCGTAGAAAGAGACAGAGTGCTGTTGAAGTTTCATGCCAGGTAATTCCTTCTGTACCAGAATGGTGACCTTCAGGAACCTCCTGGCATTATAGGCTCTGTAGTCTTAAACATGCAGAAGATAAACGGTTAATCTCAAAATTAGGAAGGCAAGTCGGGGGTGCTTAATGTGGTTTGGTCACCGAGGATAAGTTATGCTTCATAGTTCTGGCTGGGAAATCGATTTGAAAAAGAGTCTTGATCTTTGAAAATGTTGGTTTGAAAAATATTGCTGCCCGGTTATTAAGATTGGTATTAGTACTGCGTTTTCTAATGTCAGTACAGATGATGCTGGCATTAGAATGAAGTGGGATTACGACCACAAATTTTTCTTCATGGTTTGTTGCTAGTATGTTGTCCGAAATCCAGTTACAGAATTTTGGCTTCTTGACTGTAGAAAGTTTTTACCATTGCCTGAGAATATGCCATATCACCTTGAAGATTTTAAGTTTACGCAATTTTATCCATGCCATAAACAACGAACATTAAAATTTATTCCAAACTTATTATGTCGAGATAGTCTTGTTTTCGTTGCATGTTATATCTTCTTTTTTGATAGTTTCATCCCTGGCCGATTACACGATGTCCGGTTTTCGTTCAACCGTGGACCAATTCGTCTTCAGCACCGTGCTGTTGACATAGCGAGCGATATGATGGAGGAAAATGAATTTCCTTTTATTGAAGGCAAATGGGATATGCAATCTGAACCTCTTCTTCCTGAGGTAGCAGTCTCTAATATAAGGTACCGATTCTTTTGAAGACCAATTCTTTTAGGGGAAAACCCCCCGCCAATACATTCTAAGAACATGCTGGTTGACTGGAGTGTGCGTGCTCATTGACTGCGTGGGCGGAGTTTTTTTATTAATCTTTAGGAGCTATTAGAATGTCAGAGACATTTGTCTCTTCAACATATTATTTGGCTTTCTTTTCTGCAGTTTAAAACTTTAATAATTTTGTGTTGTTCTTCGTTCGTTGACTTTTTATCCATTGTGATTTGCAAAGCTTTTTATTCAACGATAAATGTATTTTTTATTCGCGGAGTGTACCATTATGGTCTTTCTAGTAAAAAGTGTTTCCAGCGCTCCCCCGTTAAATATTTATGTTTCGCCCAACCCTGATTTGCGAGACGAAAAGTGATTGGCTAAAGACAACAAAAGAAATACATTATAGCTAGTCATTGGTTAAGGAATGTAGTACGGGGGTGCTGACAAAATAGGAAACCACCCCACCGTTTGGAAAAGAGTTGCCTGATGACCGCATCAACTTAGACGGTGATGTTCTATACACCAAAAGCGTGGACAGCTCTGCCTATGCAACATCGGACACTTTTACCTGTAGACAGTAATTTCCATTAGTGCTATTGCTAGGCCATTTTTATCGCTGTCTTAGAACAAAGCTTTGTTTGTTTTAAATATTGAAGAAGTGGAAATGAAATATGAAAAGGAAGCAAAGATTAAGCATATTTTTCATAGATTGGGCGACTCTGATTGGACCAATAAACAATAGCTAAAGATGCCTGCTGATTACTGAAGTTGAGACAAATAAATATTTTGAAAATTTCTCTTCATCAAATGTATATTCTTTCTTTCGACTTCTATTTGAGAATTACTTCAAAGTACCGGCATTTCATGCCAATAGTGACAGCTAACGTTGGAAATCAGTGAATGTTTCTAGCAATTCTAGCAACTCAGAGACATATGAACCCTGAAAATCTAGGCTCCGTGGCGTAACTCTAGTGTTCCTTTAATTCTAGTATGGTTTTCTATAGATTATCCACATCTGGTACCTAGGGTAACATCTGACCCCGTCTTAGCCAAAGCATAACCTAAAATAGCAATAAACCTAACATAACTTTTGCAAGGATAACGCATAGAATTCTTGTTTACTTCTATTCATATTTAAAAGATATACCCAGTACAGATATGGTTTTTTATCTCCAAATCACCATTTTGTTCAAGGATTATGTTTTTAACATTGTTTACTTGAAATCACCATATTATCAAGGTTCATATTTTTAATTACCAGCGGGTCCCTCTTTGCTTACTGGGGCCGGGCGCAACTACCCCCTGCCCCCTCTCTCGGTGCGTGGGTCTGCTTTACATCGATTGGCCTAGAACAGACATGATGTTCTGTAGCTGGATTTCCACTAGGCGAAATCTTACGTGCCAATCGAAGTTTTGCTCATGTGAACATGCGTGTCATCTCTTCTTAAAGATTTCGAAGTAAAACGATTCGATTCTCATAAAGTATGGGATAGCCCTACACTGTCGCCACGAGTCCTTCCACTTTTGCAAAGGAATATGGGAATTCACTCTTTTATCCTAAGTTTGATTTTAGGTTAATTTTTCCTAAGAAGACGAGAATTTTTATTTTTTCAGAGTTTTTGATAGAAAGATTGAATCAAACCCACAGCAGCTTACTGCGGTCAAAAATATCTTATGGGGGGTCTCGATGCCTTATCCATATATCATATTTGGACCACCCGGAACTGGAAAAACCGTTACATCGGTCGAAGCAATGCGACAGGTAACTTATTGTCTTTTTGCCTCTTGTTAAATACTTCTTACATGCAAAGAAAAGGACCTTTGTGGATATTCGTTCTTTTCAAATGAATAGGGAATTTTTAAGTACCAAATGAGATTACCCATCTGATTTAAGACAACGTAGGAAATCGTTTTATTCAGCTTTAAAATCTTTCCTCTCAAAATGTAACACAATTAAAATATAGACAAACATTTTATTTTTCCGCAGTAGCTATAACACATAAGCTTTACAGGGGGTTTTTTCGCACCCTCTGACCCACTCTATCTATGCCACTGACCTATATCCAGTTTAGCTGTCCCTTTTTGCCACTGTATTGTCCGTTCAAGATTCAGTTTTGCTTTTACAGGTCTTACGATTCATTCCAAATAGCCGTATTCTGGCATGTGCACCATCCAACAGTGCCGCTGATTTGATTTTCCACAGGCTTCTCAACCCATGTCCTATTTTGAAGAAGAAAATGTTTCGACTGAACGCCATTTCACGATCTGTGGACTCATTGCCTGACGAGTATGACCTAAAGGTAAGCTGTAGTCATCATCAATGTATTTATTATTGTATCTTGCTAGACTTCCGCCTGCCATAAAGCTTGAAGGTTCCTTTGAGAAGAAGTTTCCAAATGACATATATCTTGTTGTAACGTTCACTCACATGATAAGCTTGCATATGCTACAAGCTTACATTGCTGATAAGTAAAAAGCTAGACCGAAACTGTTTGAATGACGGTGCTACACGAATCCACTGCATCTAGAGTTGTCAGAACGGTCGTGTTCTACACACTAAAGCAGTGTGTCCAACGTACGGCCCGCCGGCCAGATGTGGCCACTTTATACTGTGGCCCGTGCTTAGTCAATGAAGAAATATTACATTCTTATAATTATAAGCAAAAGTTTCTATTACGAAGCTGAACAGAGCAAGTAAAAGCTACAATCAAAGCATGCAGAGAAACATTTTCATGACTTTCTTTGCACGTCAACTACACATTTAATGTTTGATGTGAATAAATTTTCTGCAAACAAAAAATGTTACACTTCATATTGATAACTTTGTAATGCAACTGTTCATGTTACTTTTCATGTAATATTTCATGTAACTATATATATAATATATTTACTGTTCTATACAAAATTTGCCGATGATTTACGTAATCATTCATTTGGCCCGCATGTGCAGTAAGTTTTTGTCCATGGCCAACCCAAAAAATAATTTGGACACCTCTGCACTAAAGCATGCAATCAATTTTGATATATGATCAAATCGTGTATTTCCTTTTTTTTATAAATTAAGTTCTCTAGGCCAAAAAGATCTCGAACTTATAATAAAGAATTGGAATAATCGTTTGATCAAATATAGATTGAGAAAATATAGAAATAGTCCTGGTTGTTAACCGTTAAATTCATTGCACTTACTTATTGGAGTAGTAAGCTTCGTTCAATTTTTGTTGAATATTAACATCTCTGTGAAGGAGCATTTGACCTGATTGTTGCTCCAAGATATTCAAAGGATTCACCCACTTCTATTACTTTATCTCTCAAAAGCCATGTTATCCTCTTTGCATTGTCTTTAAGACCATTGCTTTGAATTTTTAAAATTCACTTTCATTTGCTGCCATCAAGTGAGAGGCAGAATCAAATGCTTTCTTGCAGTTAAAAAGCATACATGTAAACTCTTGCCATTTTTAATTTAATTTTGAATAAGAGGGTAATGGTTTCAGGTATCATATTTGATATTCTTTTCTGTAAGCGATTTAGATCTTTCTTGTAAAGAAGGACAACTTTCCAATAAATCGTTCTTCGAGAAGTTCCCAAGAATTGAAATTTCATCAAAACGTTTTCTAAAGGTTATTAAGGTAAAGTCATGGTTTCTTGAGGTTGTGTTGTCGAAATTCAAAACTTCAAAAATATGTAGATTTTGTAACGTTACTATTAAGCCATGATATTTGATCTTCTTGTTTCGACCTCCCTCGACACTTATTGGTCATCAATCGTCATTTTCATTCATTTTTATGGTGATGATCAATCATTCATTCTCTTCTGATATTATACACAGAGCTACTGCAAAATCGAAAATAACTTGTTTGCAATGCCTTCACTTGAAGAAATCGACAATTATCGAGCTGTTGTTTGTACGATGACAACGGCAGGAAGGTGAATCGCTATTTTTACTTCCTTTACATGTTAGTTTATTCAACTTGTAATTTGGAATACCCTAGTGCGATGCCCCAAGTCATTCTCTTGCCCGTTGCAGCTTCAGTTTTTGTTCAATGTTTATTTTAGCACATGCATTTCTTGTCATTAAAAGGATTGCCAGCAGACCAGCCGACGTATTTTGCAGGTCGATGGAAAGACTACTGGGGTGGACCCTTTATATCATCACAAATTAATTTGACAGTACTTTCCCTCTGGATCTCTAAGGGTTAAGTCATTTCTTCTTGCAATTTTTGACATTGTAAAAGGTACTTCAATGTTTATCTAGAAGGGAGTATTACTGTCAGCTCCCTCTAGAGCCAATTATTTCTTGTTATCTTTTTCATTCTGCAATCTGTGCTAATTTTATAATTATTCTATCCTTTTTGCTAAAGAATTGTCAGTATGGGTGTCGGAAAAATGTTCTTTACCCACATTTTCCTTGATGAATGTGGCCAGTCAGTTGAACCCGAAGCATTGATACCACTAGCTGGGCTGCTATCTCCAGAGAATGAGAAGGGAGGACAAATTGTGCTGGCGGGAGACCCTCGGCAGCTTGGCCCTGTTCTGCGGTCACCAATTGCCATTGAGGTATGATATTCTACTTTTAACAGTGAAAAGTAAAACTTGTAGATTATGGTGTTGTGGTGTTGTTTGCAGAGGGTACATAGTTTCTTATTATAGGTGTGAATGTAAAGTGAGAGCATTCCATAATTTATGTCTAAGATCAAGGACCGAGATTCCCAACTGCCCCCCCCCCCCAAACAAAGAGTTGTATCTCGGTCTTTGTCTAAGGTAGCCGCTTATGACACATGTCTTTTCAATGGAACTCTTTCCTTATCCAGGTAAACCAGTCTGCACGAAGTGACTTTTATTGACAGCCCTCCACACCTATCATGGGCTGATTTTGAATTAAGAAACCCTTGTAATCAACAAGAATTCTACAAAATTCTCAGGCAGAGGTAGCTTCCACAATATCATGTATGGAAGCAACTTGCCACAGGCAGTTGGGAATTTGAGCTTTTATGATCATTTTCATTATTGTGTTATGCTTAATGTTTTTCAACTGTTTTTAATGTCATCGTTCTCAAACTGCTTGAATTGCCTCCTTGCATACGAGTTGTGGTTTTCTTGTTAGCATGGTTTGTCGCTTTCAATGCTCGAGAGATTGATGGCCTCGGGACCCATTTACCAAAAATCTGCAGAAGGAAGTTATGATTCCAAATTCATCACCAAACTAATCAAGAACTATCGTTCACACCCTGCTATTCTCAAGGTAAGCACTGGCTTTTGCCAACATACTTTCGAATATTTTAGTAGCTATAACTATGAAAATATCCTTTAATATGAACAAAATAGTTACAGGAGCAGAGTCATGAGGGACCCCAAATGCGATGCCTCTCTAATTACAGTATTAATTACTTGTTTTTCATCCCGACTAATATCTTCTCAGAAATATGTTATCATCTAGCCTGCGTCACAGACAAAAACTTCCGTGAAGTGTAGAGAGCCAATAATGATAGTAGTTCTGTTTTGCAATTTGTTGAATGGACCATTCCTGAGTCCCCTGACAGGACCCACCACTCTGTTGAAATTGCATTAAGTCTCAAATTTATTTGTATTCCTAAGTAAATAGCCCACAAATTGCGTCGTATAAATTTTCGGCGAATAAACATTGTCGAAAAATGTTTGGAAACTGTTCAAAATTTCCTCGTAGATCTTAATACAGCAAATGTAAAATAGCACCGTTGAAAGGATTATTAGAGGGGACCATTGTTTGAAAGTAGTAGAAAAAAGAGGAATTGTCCGTTGGGAAGCAAAGGGGTTTGATATATTTTTAAGGGGCGCGAGCCCGCCATGGATAAGAGCATACTACCCATGTTGTAAAAGAAAGAGCAACACTATTTTCTAAATACTGGGTTCCGTAGGTACCGACTTCCTGAAAATTGAGCCCCCTTTCGTATTTCATGGGAATCATGATTAAGGTGGTATACCTGTACCTCCAAGGTAATTATGATCCATATCTTAAAAGCCTAAGAGATTTCAATTTTCTTAGAAACCAAATGAGTACTTTTATGACAACGAACTGATTCCGGAGGCAGACACTTTCAAGACGACAACTCTCTGTAAATGGGCAGAGCTTCCTGCCAAGGATTTCCCCATCATATTTCATGGAGTTACTGGCGAAGATCAACGAGAAGGCAATAGTCCGTCATTCTTCAATCCCCAGGAGGCAGCTGTAGTAGTGAAGTATGCACAATCTCTACTCGAAGAGCGAAAGCTTGGTGTCACTCCAGATGAGATTGGTATAATTTCACCTTACCATAAACAGGCCAGTACACTTTTCTGAAATTTAAAAAGGTTCTAGCTTGTTAGAAAGCATTTGCTACTCTATCGGTTTTTTCAAGTGGGATATTTTTAACATTGACTTTTACTCCAATTAATGGTGTCTTTCTAACACAACAAGAATTTTAATTTATTTCTTAATCTAAATTCACTACACTTATTGCCGTTAGAAACGCTTTCCTGAACATTAAATAACATCAAAAAATCAAGACTCTTAGCTTTAGACTCTTTCCATCTTCACCGAAAATGCATCCATATTTTAAATCATACATTTAAGTTAACCTTTAAGCGTAATTAATACCAATAAATCATACAGGTTTCGAAGATTCGCAAGCTTTTAGAGAAAAAGATTAAATCGCCAAGAATTGACGAGATCAAAGTCGGATCTGTTGAAGAATTTCAAGGCCAGGAGCGAAGAATCATTATTATTTCAACCGTTCGAAGCAACGAAGAATATCTTAAGACTGACTCCGCATTTCGACTTGGCTTTTTAAAGAACCCTAAGGTTGGTTAGCCTTACAGCTCTTACATTTAACCCCATAACCGTGCCACGGTAAATTATTTTCCACTTTGCGATATGGGTGAAATTTTCTTCCAGTTTAATCTCTAAATATTTAGGATATTTTTGCCCGTAACACTACACAGCCTGCTTTTGAGAAACTGAATTGCTGCTGGCATCGGGTGTTTCCTTTGGGATATATCTTCTTTTGATTAATTTTGAGATTTTATTTTGATTTTTATAATTCAAAGGAATACTTCGGAAAATGTTGAAATACTTCTGTCATTAAAGCGAGGAACACAGGCCTTATCTGATTTGGTTGTCTACGGCAATAAAAAGTACTTAACAATCATAATTTTTCCTTTTCACATTTCAGGTTTACATTATTTTTTTTATTTTCAGTCATTTTTAAAAAGGAAGGATTCAACATTTAGCTTTTTTTTCTTATCAGCTTTCACAAAGTCGTTCAAAAATCAAAAAATTTTCTGCTTTCAATTTCTCGTGATGCAACCCAGTTTTTTTTCGAAGAACTTACCTTTTCTCGAGTTCATTCAAGATAATGTATTGTTAAGTTGATTTTCATTTATGAACAATTTGAATTTTTACATACGTATGGCCCCGTTCACATTGCTCCGGATTCGAATGAAAACGGATAAAAAAGTATCCTCTTGCTCCGCTGCGAAAACGGAGACTTTTGAAAACGCACTTTGAAAACGGAAACTTTTGAAAACGGAGACTTTCGAAAACGTCAAACGCAGTGTGAACACCGAAAACGAATTCTTTTGAAAACGATAACAACAACAACAGCACAGCAAAATGCTTAGACCACGCTAATTTGAACAACTTCTCTTAACATGGCTGATTCACTCGAAGTTAGTACACTACTTGGAGGAATATTAGTGGCAGTGAGGTGTTTGAAAAGTTTATTAGTAGTCGCAAGGTCTGTAAACCAGTTCGTGGCGTTTTCCTTTTTATCCAGAGCGGAGCAATGTGAACGCTTTATCGTTTTCACACCGTTAGCAAATGTATCCGGAGCAGTGCGAACTGGTAAAACGGATCGATATGAAAACGGATAAAAACGAATACGGAGCAATGTGAACATAGCCTAAGTTTAGTTTTTTTTCCACTGTGTATTGTCAACTCCCATATCAATAGATAAGATTGCATTGTGTTAGGCCCTGGCGCTGTATCCTACTATACTAAAAACTGATTTCAGTATGAACTGTGGATGAATTGCCTGGAGACTGGTTGAATAATGATAGAGTTACTACTGTGTTTCTCCTATAGCGATTCAATGTGGCCATAACTCGTGCCCAAGCACTTTTGGTAATGATTGGAAATCCATTCGTTCTTTCAAAAGATAAGTATTGGAAAGGGTAAGTGATTTCTCGAAAAAATTTTCACGCTGCAGTATTTGCCCATTAGCTTAGCCATGGCAATATTCCTTTTTTAGCCTTATAGTAGAACTTACATATTTTTGGGACTTTAATTTGAATCCATTGTAAGGTTTTTGTTGCCTTAAGACTTACTGTATAACCATTGTTTACTGTGATTTTGAATAAATAGATGATAGAAATTCAAGTGTAAAATCATTTGTCAACTTGTGGGGGGCATCCATCATTGAGGGTGCCCGCTCTTTGGAGTTTCGCTATCAATACAATGCCTGCTAAAATTATATGAAATATCTGGCAATTAGCGTTTTCCTTTTTCTGTTTCCCGTTCCTCGTTCTCTGAATTCTCATGAACTTGATATTTGTGACATTAAATCGCCACTAACAAGAATTCCAAGCTGCTAGAACCATAACTGATACAGTTTTAGCAACCCAGGCAGAACACCTATCGATGGAAAGCCATTTAAAAGCTTGTAAGCAGTAACCAGTTCACCAGAAACTCAAAATGTTGCTCTCAAACTCGAAGTCTCCTTTAAACAGCCTTGAGTGTAAGAATTTTGACATTTGGTTTATCCTTACTTAAACAGCCATCAGACACAAAGACCGAAATACAACTTTTTTTTGAGGGGGCCAGCCCTGATAAATAAGTGTATTAAAAGCCATATTTTATTACAAAATAAAAGCATTTTACTTACCGTAAGTTCTTCTTTTAGCTTCTCTCTCAATTAAGCCCCCTCTCGTTTTAGCCCCCCACCCATTTTCAGAAGGAAAAGTTTAATTAGCCCCCCCCTCTCAATTTAGCCCCCCCAACTTTTCACTGATGCTGAAATAAGTAAACTTGACAAAAAACAGAGATTTTCATTTTATTCATTTTCATTTTGTTGAATACATCAAATCAAAATTCACACCATGTCTCTTCCAGTCACGTCACGACAGATTTGGAGACAAAGATTTAATTTGCATTAAGCACGGGCCATGTGAGAGCCTTTTACCAAAATTACAGGCCATTGGTACTCCAAGGAATGAAGTCGACCTTTCGAATGCTCGATTTCAGAAGGGCGACATGGCCCAAGAAGATATTCTAGAATTAATAATTGATGATGATGACGATGACAATATTATTGATATAGAAGGCTGATTTGATGTTTTTTATTTCGCAAATAATAAAGAAATTTACCACTTGTTTTTTTATTACAAATTTTTATTAAGCCCTTTCTCTCAATTTAGCCCGCTCTTTTTTATAAGCCCCCCTTCAAAGGATATTTTACAACATAAAAGCATTTTACTTATGCTACTTAAGTTTTTTGGCCTCCCCGGTATCTCGTTTCTTGAGGTTATGATTTTTGAGATTCACATAAAATGCTTCGAGACGCGCGTATTCCCGAGAAATCGTAATAAATTGTTGAAAAGAAGCTTAAAAGTTGTTGCTTATATATTCAGTAAAATTCGTTTCAAAAAAGGTCAATAAGGTGAAGAAAATTTGTTTGCTTGTCGAGTAAAATATCTCGTTTCTTGAAGTCCATCCATTCACACATTAGTTGCGCCAGCGATCAAGAGGTGTCCTTTTTCACCAGAATCTAAGGAGAGCTGAAAATTGCTTTACATTAAGCCTTTGTGAATTTCAAGAGATAGAAGTACGCACTACTAGGAACTGTGCCAGCTGATCCATCAATGAAGATAACCATTCTCATTCGTTTCCCAGGGTCTTGGATTACTGTATTGCAAATGGTGGATATACAGGATGCAGCTATTCAGATCAGATAGTCGATTCCCTCGCACAATCAGTGGCAGATCTATTAAATATATTTGCTTGAAATTTCTTCTGCAAGAACATTGAGTATCATAATTGACTTTATCCTCATACCTTGTTAACCATCTTTTACATGTATTTCTGTCACATTTATTCCACGCTATTCTTTTTTTGTTTAAATTGAAGTAATAATCAGGTCTTTATTTTAAGAATATTTTTGCATATTTACTGAGGCGCCGGTATTTCGAAGGGTTCCCTTGAAGGCAAATAAGAAAGATCGCTTTTTAATTATAGTGGAAGGCGGGACTCCTAAATAAAACATAATGAAACAAAACAAAAAATTTATACTACTTATAAATGCCGAAAAAACTGGAATGAGATAAAAAATCCAATGCACATAGTTTGCTAATCAACCATGAAAGACTTGTAAGGTCTACATACCTAATTTGTCCAAATAACCCTTCCCAGGCAATATTTTTCCAAAATGAACCAATCTTTTCGGGGATGCAACACTTCTCCCGTATAGCTATGTAATCGAGAACACCCCCCCCTCCCCCTTCTTATTGTAAAGGTTTTACGCTGTATTGCGCAGACTTATGCGAGAGGATTTCATGTGAGAAACGAAGAAATGAGATCTTATTCTTTGCTTACATTCTTGTTATCGTGCATATCAAAAAGTCCTTATTTACAAAATCTCATGATATTTATACTAACGGCATACAATAGATTAATTACATGATTGACATAAAACTAAACGAGGTACAAATGAAAACGAGGTTATACAATATAAGAAATATCCTGTTACATTATCAATGGCTGAATTTAGTGATAGTCAAACATTTATTGTAAGTTAAGATCAATCAAACAACTGCTAAACCTTTATATAATGGACGCAGGGACGCAAATGCAAATTTTTTTAGGGGGGTGTTCTTTGAAGGGATCGAGTTTTCACCACGACAGATCAATTTTTGCGATATAGATATTTTCAGGTGTTAAACAATAGATTTTCCTGTTGCGTGTCAGTGGTGTTCCTCTTGTTTATCTGTAATCCGTTGCAATGCCATTTCTCATTAGTTGCCATCACTTGTTATCAGCGTCCTATTGTCTCTTGGTCATGTGTTATTCATTATATTGCCATGCTGTTTTATGTTGAGTCAGTCGTTACTTAGGCTATGTTCACATTGCTCCGTATTCGTTTTTATGCGTTTTCATATCGATCCATTTTGCCTGCTCACACTGCTCCGGGTACATTTGAAAACGGTATGAAAACGATGACGCGTTCACATTGCTCTGTATAAAAAGGAAAACGCCACGAACTGGTTTACAGCACTCGCGACTGCTAAAAAACATTTTGAACGACTCACTGCCAATAACATTCCTCCGAGTAGTGTACTAACTTCGAGTGAATCAGCCATGTTAAGAAATATTGTTCAAATTGGCGCGGTCTAAGCTGCTTGCTGTATTGTTGTTGTTGTTGGCGTTTTCAAAAGTACCCGTTTTCGGTGTTCACACTGCGTTTTTGCTTTTTCAAAAGACTCCGTTTTCAAAAGTATCCGTTTTCAAAGTGCGTTTTCAAAAGTCTCCGTTTTCAAGGTGGAGCAGTGTGAACGCAAGGCACAAACGGATACTTTTTTATCCGTTTTCATTTGAATCCGGAGCAATGTAAACGGGGCCTTAAAGCCGTCAAGGAAAGTCGTTATATTGAGAGCCGAAAAGTGAAGTCGTGTCGAAGCCGTTCCGTTTTATGAAGTTGCAGTTAACCGTTAAATTCAGTACAGTGTACCCGCCGAACATTATTGCCGCCGACGAATATTGCTTGTAGTTTTAATTTGCTGAACTATTGCTTATGGTTTACATCGCCGATTATACATATATTCTGGTTCTTGTTGGAATCAACTGTTGTTTCCTTTGTACTGGACTAACCAGGGCAACTGTAAAACAGTGTTGTTTTACACAGGGCCGCTCTCCAAGGTCTTTATTTTGATGAGCGTGTTATTGCTATCCCACTTACTGATTGGCCAATAGTCGACTGACAGATGTCTTAAGCTTCTCTTGTATAATATGTTTGCCTTTTATGGAGGTTTAAAAGTATCTATTCTAAATTTCTTTATTATTAGAGAGATAAAAGTTACTTTGAACTAGTAATTTAGACAATAGAAAATTGTCTTAGACAATAGAAAATTGTCTTAGACAATAGAAAATTGTCTTAGACAATAGAAAATTGTCTTAGACAATAGAAAATTGTCTTAGACAATAGAAAATTGTCTTAGACAATAGAAAGTTGTCTTAGACAATAGAAAGTTGTCTTAGACAATAGAAAGTTGTCTTAGACAATAGAAAGTTGTCTTAGACAATAGAAAATTGTCTTAGACAATAGAAAATTGTCTTAGACAATAGAAAATTGTCTTAGACAATAGAAAATTGTCTTAGACAATAGAAAATTGTCTTAGACAATAGAAAATTGTCTTACACAATAGAAAATTGTCTTAGACAATAGAAAATTGTCTTAGACAATAGAAAATTGTCTTAGACAATAGAAAATTGTCTTAGACAATAGAAAATTGTCTTAGACAATAGAAAATTGTCTTAGACAATAGAAAGTTGTCTTAGACAATAGAAAGTTGTCTTAGACAATAGAAAGTTGTCTTAGACAATAGAAAGTTGTCTTAGACAATAGAAAATTGTCTTAGACAATAGAAAATTGTCTTAGACAATAGAAAATTGTCTTAGACAATAGAAAATTGTCTTAGACAATAGAAAATTGTCTTAGACAATAGAAAATTGTGTAGAACAGATATAATAGATAGTTCATACCTGTTCCTAAATTATATAACTTCATTCCATTTAATGTTATTTTAACGGCGAAAGCTGAAATTTTCATCGTACTCAATATTTTCATCGTGCAAGTGTTAATCGTACTCCATATTTCAATGGAATTGGTTGGGAACTGATGATTGTTTTAGCCTCTTCGTGCCAAGGCCGATTTTGATACCAATGAATTCCGAATGCAATTTTAAGACCTAAAATCTTGGGAAGATCGTAAACCCTTCTTACTAACCCAGCCTATCACAAAGCCTGCCGAAATTTCACTTTTCACTTGGTTTTTGCGAATTGCCAAGAGCATCGCCCTCTCATCTTTAAATAATTATGTTTTTTATAATTTTAAGAGCTTCTTCTTTTCCAGTGAATTTCATTGTGATTGTTCGTTTGCTACCTAGCACCCGAAGGTAGTTTTGGAGCACTGAAAGGCCTACCAGACTGCTACCCAGGCAGGGCCGTCGCTAAGCACTTTCACTTAGGGGGGTGCCAGTCACCAATTTGCCGACAAAATGGGGCGTGGCCTGAGATATTTCCATGTGGGGTGTGACATTTTGACGCAATTGATTTTGACGCATGTGGGGTGTGACGTTCTCGTTAGTCAATCATCGCTTCAATTTTCGAGTGACTGTGGGTACTTAGGTTTCGAAGGCTTTGAAACAAAACCGAAAGACGAGGTCCCTGTGCGAGCGGAGCGAGCAGGAAATTTTTGCGACCACGCCCTTCAGATTGTCTTAAAATGGATTTCAGAATATTTCTTGCAGTCATTTCTTGCAATCGTTTAGAACTTTTAACTATTTTTAGGCATACCTACGTTTCATTGATTTCATTCTTAAAATGGAGTTCATTACTACTTGAAGCCCCCTCGACCTCAAGGCCCTGAGGCACTTTGCCCCCTTTCCTTGCTTACAGTGGCTTCCAGTACCTCCAGGATCAACGTACAGAATTTTTTAATAAACTTTGACCCTTACCTAAACCCCAAACTTTAAGTAGAAATTAGGTCGCCCTGGATATTGGACATTAGATTCTAGACTCCGGCTGCCGAAAGGAAGTCATTTGAAGTTTTTGGGGGATATTTGCCCCTCCGTGACACCCATGGCGCTATCTTTTCCTGTTTTGAATTGCTGAGAGCTTTTGGGCAATACTTTTAACTTCACATCCTCATCTTATTCCAACTGTTCACTAAAGCTATTGCTTTGGGAACTTTGAAAGCAAAACCCGACAAAACTCTACTTTTAGAAAATTTGCCGACAAGAATTTTCTAGGGGGGGTACCGCACCCCTCGCACCCCCTGCTAGTGACGGCCCTGTACCCAGGGTATGAAAGGCTATGCTTATCGAGCAGTATTCTGGTCCTTTCTCTCGATGTGACCACACCTCGTGGTTCCTACGCCTGGAATATCAGAGAGCTGACGACTCTGAGAGAAATTTTGTTCGTGTCAGGGACCCTTGGATCTATAGTCATCGACCCTAGCCACTGAGCCCTCAATAAGAGCCATCCAGTTGGTTCTTATCGACCCTGGGTACAAGACTATATATATAGTGAGTTTGGTACCCAGGGTAGTTCTTATCAAGATTATGTTGATGATAAATTTGTCTATCCAACATTGTTCTTGGAGAGAGAAGATGCGGTGTCGGAATAGTTAAGCAACTGGACGCCCCAAGGACTCTTGGCAAGGATTGTAGTTTGTAGCGTAAATTCCTACACAAGATTGCAAGGAAAACTAGCATGGATACTTGAGTCAAACCCGTTTTCCATTTTCATTGGTTGAATAGATTCTTTATGTTATACATCTATCAGTTGGCTTGGATTAGCTCATTTCACTGTAAATAGCTATGTAGCGCCAACTTTAAATAAATTGATTATTATTATTATATATTATTATTATTATTATTATTATTATTATTATTATTATTATTATTATTATCTTGACACAAATGCAACAAGAAAACACAGCAAGTATGCTCCTCTCCTATCTGACTTACAGCGAAAGTTCAAATGTGTCTCTTTTGTGAATCTTTCTATGAGCTCTCTTGGCATCTTTGGCAATTCCTGCATCTCTTTCTTCAAAATGTGTGACGCTCTCTCCATCGATCAACAACAAAAACGGTATCTCATCTCTAAACTTTCCAACATTGCCATTCGTACTACGTACTACATATTTTGTTGCAAAAATAAACCATGGACAAATCCGGAATTACATCCTTTTTAACTTTAGTCGTTTTATTTTTTTTCTCAGTTTTTCCTTTTACCTTATGATTGTTATAGTTTTTTTTGTAAAACCAGGCTAGCCAATTGCAAATTACCTTGTAATAGTGAGATTTGTAGTTGTAGTTTAAGTTGGATTGAAAATGAAATGTTTCCATTATTATTATTATTATCATTATTATTATCAAAAACGACCGCATGTTCCAACCAGTGCATTGGTTCCAATTTGCTGACGATGCTGCGGTTGTTACTGGTGGTGAAAAGGAGAACCAGCTCCTGTTAAACTGCTTTACAAGATGGTGTCAGTGGGCAAACTTTGTAATAAGGGTGGATAAATGTGTCACCTTTGGCATTAAGAAATACTCAACAAGATCTCTTCAGTTCCAGCCAAAGCTTTTCGTGAACAACCAAAGCGTGCCTGTTGTTAAAAATGGAGAATCTTTCAAATACCTCGGCCGCTTCTTTGACTTCGAAATGACCAATGGCAGTCATAAAGAAAAACTGCTATCAATGTTTCCCAGCCTTCTGAAAGAAATTGATGACTTGCCTCTGCATCCCAAAAATAAACTTCTATTGTACCACAGATATTTATTGTCCAAAGTTTCTTGGCACTTCACTGTTGCAGACCTATCGAAGACCTGGTTCATTGAGAACCTCGATAATCTTGTCTCTAAATACATTCGCCAGTGGCTTGATCTTCCCATAAGTGCTATTTTAACTAGTATAGTTCTTTCCAAAAATCAATTTGGTCTCGATCTTCAGCTACCTTCTGTCAAATTCACTCAATGCCAAACTGTTTCACGCAATGCCCTCCGAACTTTTCCTAACACAAACATTCAAGCTTTATGGAAAAACACCAGTAGTCGGATGAATCTGCAATACGACATTTACCGTAACACCAAAGATGTACTGAAAGCAGTAAAATCAGACAGTAGAGAGCGCTTGGCACACCAATTACTATCCCAGGGTGCTATTATTTCATTTCTGTTGGACCACTCTCTTAAAAAGCTCAATGGTGTTTGGTCTGTTGTGCTGAGCAACCTACCCACGAACATCTTCAACTTCACCATCAAGTACCTGAACAATACTCTCCCTACGCGCAAAAATCTAAGCCTTTGGAACCTAAACCAGTCATCTGATTGCGAATTCTGCCTTTATCCTGAAACTCTACTCCATCTCGTTGCAGGTTGCAAAGTTTATCTCGAACAAGGTCGTTATACCTGGCGTCATAATTCTGCTCTAAATTTTCTTGCAACCTCCTTGAAAGCAATAGAGGGATCCTCTCTTTTTGCCGATATACCCTGCTTCTCCTCACCTTCCATCATAACTGGAGACAATCTGCGCCCAGATCTACTTCTGCGTACAAATGAAAACATTCTTTATGTTTTGGAACTAACGATAAGATTTGAAACTAACATTAACTGCAATGCAGAAAGGAAACGTTTAAAATATGCTCGCCTTGTCTCAGATCTAAGAACAAGGTTCAAATCTGTCATATTTGTAAATCTCTCCATCAGCTCTTGGCATCTTCAGCGACTCATGCAGCTCATTCCTTGAAATGTGTGACTCTCTTTCCATCGATGATCAACACAAACGATACCTCATTTCTAAGCTTTCTACGATATCCATTCGTACCACCTATTACATTTTTTGCTGTAGGAAGAAAACATGGACGAACCCAGAGCTACTTCCCTTTTAACGTTTTTTTTTCTTACGATTGTAATAGTCTTATTTTGTAAAAGCAGGCTAGCCAGTTACAAATTACCTTGTAATAGTGAGATTTGTAATTGTAGTTTTAACTGGAATTCAAAATGAAAAGTTTCCATTATTATTATCTAACGATAATCAAACTTAGTGTTGTTGCTTCAACTGTCTGGGCTGGCTGTGAAATTATAATGACAGGGGTTTTGATGAGGAAGATCCGATCTTGCATTGAAAGTGGATCCAAAAACATTTGCCTAAAGAAAATAGAGTTCTTGTATATTATTTTATTCATTTAAAGAAATTTGTACATTGCTGGAATGTATGCAGTGCTCAAATTTCTCTACCCTCACACTTTTTATATAAGAATATAGCCTATAAGAATATCAAGGCTCAAAATCGCTGAAATTTAAGAATAATTTAAGAATAAAGGAATTTTCAAGTTTCATCAAGAGTTTAATTTTTTGTTTATTTGAGTTTTTTGGAAAGCAAATCATATGCGAGTTTCACGCTATGTTTTAGAATACAATTATCCGCCTTTTCGGTCATTAACCCTATAATGCGACTTATAGTTACACCTTATGTCGTTTAAAAATACTTCAAGAATAATCTTAGGCCCAAAATCTTGAAAAATTAAGAATATTGAAGCTCAGCAAAAAATTAGGTATTCTTATAAAAGAATATGTCCAACATAGTGACTTTGTTTAGATATAGTTAGGGTTTAGAGCCTCTTTTGTTTTTCGAGAAAGAGGCTGCATGGTTTATTCTAGTAGACGTATTTTTGGTACGAATGGCGGTGGCTTAATCATTGCATATGATACGGAAACATTTCAGTGCTTTAATTTAGCATAGCAAGCATGGGACGACGCAGTGCCATAAGACACCGCACCCGACAATATTTCATATCACTTCTATTTGGAAATTATAGACATATTTGAGGCAATGAAATTTCTTATTATGAGTGAACAGCCGTGGGATATTAGAACAGTATGGTCAAAATGGAGTCGGAATTTAAAAACGAGTCATTTTAGTTTGACATTAGTGCCAAGTCACACGTCACAGAGGGGTGATGGTCCTAGTCTTTTTGGTAAATAAAAGATTGAATTTTAGCGGAAATTTCTGTAAAGTTTAACCTGTAGAATACAACAAAAATAAAATCTAAAAGTAAAACAGCATCAGTATAACATTTGGCGCAGGGGGTTGGGAATGGTTAAAGGCCAATTTTATTTACATTGCTGCCACCCAAGTTTAGAATTGGTAGTCTGGGCTCGCAATCTTGTTACCTACCGGAAGATTATTTTTGATGTAGGTTTACAGAAAGAATTACTGAATACCTATTGATCTCGGGCTGGAAAAGCATAAGTGCTTCGTTATGAAACTGAGACTGGGTCATTGCTACGTTGGGGCAGTTTTAGTTTTGTTCGAGATTAATTACAGGGTTTAGTTGGAAGAACTGGCTTCATTTTTAAAGACTCCGTTTATTTCACCAGCTCTTTGCTTCGCTTCACTTCATCCGGCTTCGTTTAGGGCAAAAAGACTTTTTTTCCCGAAAAAACCCCATTTTGGAATAAGCCCTCTTTTGAGCATCAAGTTTTGAAAACTCAATTGATAACAAGTTCTACACAATGTTCTAAGCACCCGTACGTACATATGTATAATCAACATAAAATAAAAGTGCTGGAGTTGAATAGAAAAAAGAGGATCAGAAATGATATATGGAAACTTGTTATACACTTTTCAATCTTGCATTTCCTCCAATTTTCTGACATAGTACCTCACTGTTCTCTGCAGTATTTTCAAATGGAAGCGCTTATTTTAATGTTTTAATTACTGGCGGAAATCATCAAATATATCGGTGGGGGGAGGGGGGGTTCAAAACATACCAAAAAAAAGCTTTGCCGACAAACGACAAAACTTACCGAAACGCGCTAAAAACTGTGTTTTAACCAACAATTTAGCAAAGCCAACAGATAAGAAACAAAGCAAAATTACGACGAGAATTTAATTCGTGGAAGATCGAACTTTGAAATAAGTGAAATGTGTATGTAATGTTTTGCCCCTTCAAACAGATTTTTATCAGGGCTTTTATTTCATCAAAACTCGTTGCAAGATTTACAGATCCGAAGGACAGCCTATCCAGCATATCTTCCTTCTTAGCAAAAACTGGGGGTGCCCAAAACCTGGTTTATATGGAAGGGGAAAGCCAGTGAGTGCTTGTTGTTTAATGCGACGAACCAATTTTCCTACGTCATTTCTAGAGAGCATTGTTTACGTATATTTAATTGTCGAATCTTCCCAAGGAGAGTCATTAGCATCTCGATGGTCATAAGCAGGGCATCATACACCAGGTTGTCTGCTGTGCCTTAAAAGACTATGGGCAATTTGGAAAAGTGCCCTTGGCTTATAAAGGAATTCAATAAAGGACTTTTCCTTTCCAAGTCGATCTCTCAACGCCTTGAGCTGCTGAGACGGTGCCCATTTTCCAAAGGAGAGCAGGCCAGCATCGCAACATTGCAGACGGATGACGTCGTACGATGCTGTTGTAAGTTTTCGAAATTTGAATATATACTTATTCTAAGATGAAATTTTGAGAATAACAGCAGGCTCAGTATTTTATATAATAAAAACAAACATCGGCACAAGAAGACTTTTCATTTAATTTTAGTCTTAAACATTTATACAAGGTGTCTAACAGATGTGACTTATACATTCATTTATACCCTTCAAACCTTATAATTATGTTTGTTTTACATGTAAAAGACCTTAAAACATTGAAATTAAAACATAATTAATTTAGCAGTGTACAATATTACAAAGATTACAATTTGTTAAACATAAAGACAATAACCTTTCCATGGTACAGAGTGACTTTGAAAAAATACATTTGAAAACAACATGCCATTAAAGCTTTCCGTCTGATACCCATCGGAGTATAAAACGTCAGAACATAGATCGAAAGCTTCACGCTAGAAAACACATATACCCAGTTGTAGATCGATTGGCCTAATGGCACCACGCACAATTCTGAAAGTGGATGGGTTGGAAAGGGTGTGACCAAGAATTTTTTAGTAAAACGCCCCTTTTAGTTTGATTTGCTTTTTTCCACTGATTTTTTATAAAAAGCCCGATTCAGAGAAGATATCAATTACTATAAAACAGATTCAACCAAGACAAACACCAAGAAAATGAAAAAAAATGGGTTCCCAGCCAAGACGAACTGCTACTTCTAAGAATCCGTTAGAGTAAACTTTCTAAAGTTGCGCTAGAAAAAACCTTATAAAATGTCTAACCAGTTATCGCAAAATATTGCGCGGGGGGGGGGGGGGGGGGGGGAGTATAGCCACTGCTAGCTAAATGGCTGCGCGGTGCCTGGTATCAGACGTATGTTCTAAAATGTTTGTTTTTTCAAAGTAATTTACCAAAATAATACTCAAACGAAAATAAAGTATATATCAGTACAAAATCAATTTTTTCTGCAACCATGGCTTTCTATTTTCTTTTAAATGATCTTTTTTTATAAAAAAACACGGCGTTTAACAGCGTTTCCATTTGAACCGCGAACATTTTCTGAAGAGGGGCCTTTGAAGACAACACGTTGCCAAATTCGCCGGTAAAATATTTTTCTATCATACCGTGCGTGACGTTGCCAAACAGAATTTAGAAAATAACAGGAAGCTGATTAATAATTCGGACTCCTTTAATTTCTGCCCCCTCGTTCCTTCAATCACCTGACAAAAACATGCAATAAAACCAATAACACTGAACACTGATTTGATTCGCCTCGCCATCGAGTTACTTTTTTTTGTTTGGTAGCCTGAGCATAAGATGTTCTTGTAGCCTGTACAGAATGAAGCTTTAAAGAAATGACGATTTCTGCGAGCGGCTTGGCATTTCTTTCCAAGTCCACCCTTTAACATTCCAAGGCTAAACTTTAATCAAAACAGCTTACATGACCGTACCCTGGGTACCAGAGCCGCAAAAATTAAAAAATAATGAGAGCTCATTTTTGCGGCTCTGGTATCCAGGGTAACATGAACGACGATTGTGTAGTCTTGGGAATAGGGTGGTGCCCAGCCTTTCTCCCGTCGACCACTGCGTTGACATGTCTTTCGTGATAAATCGCTTCGGCACATGACCTCAGGAGTTAGTTAGTTGGTTATTGTGGCTGAGTGTGTAGTAAGCACGTTTTTGTTACGAAAATTACATACATAATCTCACAAATGGATTTTCTCTATGCTCCGGGAGATTTGGAAGGGGGATAACAGTATCGAATTTTGAGAGTTGCTTGCAGGGCATTCCATTTATCTTGGGGCGGTAATACCCGATTATGTGAATTTTGTTCGCTGACGAAATTCGCTCCCAGCCTCTAAATAGAAAGATTTTGCAATTTATTTTAACAATAAAAATGAATTTATCGATAAAATAAAAGTTAAAAGCCAGAAATTTGTAATTTGAACACAAAATTGATTTATTTATGTAAAATTATATTAAGCAGGGAAATTCACAATCTTATTAGCGATTTTGTCAATATAGTAAACAGAGATTCATTTTTTAATATTTTATGTTGGTGGTGAGTCTCGTGATTTTTTCAATGAAAAAGATGTACCGTGAACCAAAAAAGGTTAACAATCATTGTGTTATCATATTGGGTTTTGTTGTGAAGTTTCCTTCTGAAGAGGCCAAGTTTATGTGGAGGTCTCGGAATTTAGATCCCAGAAACCACAGCGTCGAAAGCGTCCGGAAAGTGCCCGATGAAATCGAGGCATGAGCCCTTTCGTGCTCTTTTTCCAATGTTCGAAAACGAGATAAGGACAGGAGGAGGAGATTTAAACACTTCATTGCGTTGGATTTGTTTGGGTTCTACTGAAGAGGAAAGCGCAGTCGATGATGGAACTCGCAAAGAAATGCCCTTTTTTGAAGCGAGTTCCTTCATCATTTCTCCGGAAATCTGGGCCATCTATAATCGCTTATGCCGAGAAATGTCCTGTGATGTCTCAGGTTCTAACGTCCAAGGTCGCTAGCCCAAAGCTGCCTGAAGAAGGTAAGTTTGTCTTAGGCCCGTTAATTTAGCTAATTTTGACGTATTTCATTTAAAATCACGTACATCATTGAACCTGCGCCAGGAGCGAATTCTCATTATATTCTATAGACTAAGCTAAGTTCTAAAAAAAACTAAGACTACATATATAATACTTATCGGTTACGTTTGCGTATCGTTCGCAAACTGAGAAGTGCCTTACTTATATAACCCTTGGAAAGTTCCCTAGGTGGACAGTTCCGTTGAATCCAGTGCAACTTAACAAAGCCAGTTATTTACTGAACAAAAAAACAGCTCACTAGTGTCAATAGCTTCCATTATATATATTGTAAAACTGTTTTTTATCAATTCTCACAATGTTTTGGTATTACATTCACTTCAGTTTTGAAAACAAGAGAGAATATAATTAATTTGGCTGTTAAAATCATCACAAATTTCACCCAAGGACGTCTTGAAGCCCGTCTATGAATGCTAGCTCTACCAGCTTCCTTCGAATTTATAGATATATGTATATTAGTCAATAGCAAAGTAATGTAATCTCAACGAAGTAGAAGAACTAATTACTGAATTAACACATCAGCTCTTAATTTGTTAATTCCCCATGAGGGATGATGTATAGCCTAATCATGTATAGAAACAGCAACTTAATTAGTGTCATCCAGGGAAGGAAATTATAGAGTGGGCTATTGAATTAGATATGTGCAGTGCAATAGTGAATGTGATTATAATACACTTTATTAACAATAAAATATATATAATGTCAATACTTTTCAAAGTCCAAAGCCCTGAGTTAAAACTCCCTTGAAGTTTTAATTCTCTTGTAATAAGTTGTATCCATGCAAAGTATAAAGTTTTATTTTATTACAGTGTTTTCAATATAGGATTTGAACTAGATGTATAGTAATAAAATAATTTGTTACTTACAAGACAATATTTTCATGACTTTATGGCTTAGAATCAAGCAAAATGGATGATATCTTTAGAGAACTTCAATCACCAAAGCAAAAATTACAGGTTATTTCCAAATAAAAATAAGTTATATATATACCTGTGTACTGCAATGATAATTGCTGTCAATCAGTGTGTTTTCAGTGCATTATGTGGAAAGGCACTTCTGCACTATTCAAAGCTGCTTCTCAGATCTTTATAAAGATATGCAACCATCAAGCTGCTGTTGACTTAATGCAAAGACACTCCCCTCATGAAATTATCCAGACAGTTTTGAATTTATTTGCGAATCTGTTATTAGAAAATTTTTTTTACAACATTTAAAGCTGATTTCAATAAAACCTTTGTACAAATTTCCTCTTTCTCGAAGTTTCTTTGGCCTTTGAAATTTATATTTGTCAAATGTATGTAAGTGTATGTCCTTTTTGTCAGCAACCAAAATGAAATAATGTTCTATCATAATGATGGTGAAAGCTATCATTAAATTATTAACATAACTGGATGCACAAAGACTGTTTTTTGACATATGCGAAAAGGTTTAAAAAAACAAGAAGCATAAAGAATTGTCATGGCCAGAAAGAGCAAGAACACTGGTGACACTAAACCCCAAATGTTCAACCATGGCTGATTTGTATCAAAACAGGTTTGCATCATTACAAAAAATTGCAACAAATATTCACAGAGAATTGAATTTTCAAAAACTGTCTGTAAATGTTGCAAAGAAAAATAATGACCAGTGGCCAAGTTCTAAATGCTGTTTTGGATTTGGAAAAATGCCAAATGCTATGCTTGTTTTTTAATTAATCGGTGGCATCTACATGCAAATATTTTTTCCACCTCAAAGAAAACAGCATGAATTTCCCACTATTTGAAAATATTTATCTCAAGAATGCTATGTAAAAATTTACTATGTTTCATTGACCCATTTGAACTGAGTCCCAGTAATACTTTACAGGCCTTGCTCTAAGCAAAATGAAGGTGCTCCATAAAAAGAGCCCCTTAGAAACTCTAGGCACTCTATTTCGCACCTTTAAATAAAATATCCTTGAGAGCATCCTTCAAGAGCTTTGGAAGATGGGGAGCTTCATATTGAAAGCTTTGGAAGAGTGTTAAATAAGAAATTCAATGGTGATACCAAAAAGCACCATAATATGAAATAAAAACACATGCAGCAAACACTATGTTAATACAAATATAGAAATATAGGAAAACACATGGCTTTAAGTCGAACATTAGCTTTGTTTCCCTTTTTATGCTATTCATTCTATAAGACACACTAGAACATCTACTACTTGCGAAAACAAATGAAAACTGAAAAGCAATGCGGTAATTTGGATGGAAATGTGATCTCTGATTTGCAAAGGTGATTTTAAATTATTAAGAAAAACAGAAAATAATGCTTCAACAGAAGATTAACGCTTGCTCAAAAATCAAATAGATCTGCTGGAGAATACGCTTGATGGCCTGTGTCCTTGGTGGTTATTAGAGGGTTATTAGATTAAAAATGGTATCAAAAACCCAACATTGAATTTGCTGAATGTTTTCTCAAGGGGTAATCTTACGCAAATCATAATATTGCGGTCTATTAGGAAGATTGTTTATGCTTGATCGAGTTTATTAGACAAAGGCCAAGAAATTTTTTTGCTCCGTGGTAATATTGCTTTTACGTTTTGAGGGGCTCTATAAATCGCTCTCCAAGGCTTCTTTTGGGTGCGCTCGATCGAGCACCTTTCCGGGAAAGGCCTGCTTTACTATTCTTTGTTGATTTGACATTGGCTGATTTGCGTAAGGCTTGTCGGCAAAGGTTACTCATTTAAGCAGATGAAAATTGCCCACGTTTTGCAAAATTTTAATGTCTTGCTTCATTTTTGAAGGGTTTCTCAAAAAATTATGGTAACTAAATAGGACAGCCAATGTGTTTGCAAGGTCCATACTAACTATAATCATGTTAGGTAAAAAGGTTTGTTATGCCCTCACTGTGTTCCTAAGACCTTCTTTTAATTGTTTTTATGTATAGAAGGTTCTCTGAGCAGGCTGTTCTAAACTTAACAAAGCCAATAGTCTTCTTCTCTTTGGGTAATATCTTGAGCAGCTAATATTGTACCATAAATGTGTTGAAATAAAACAAAAGAACACTAATTTTTATCAACAGGTCTGTTACCATGGCAATATTTGTACATATGGTCTTAGCTGCATTCAACTTAAACAGTGTGTCTATCAAGTGTTTATAATTTTTATATATGATGGCGGGCGAGGACACAGTAAAACATTTTTCATTATTCTAGGTGTCAAAACATCTGGCAAAGCAACTGAAAATGGCAAAGGTAAATTAGCATATGTTTTATAACTCTGTGGAATTTGTTTTGATTCAGTGTCACAGCTGCCTGATTTTGCTGTAAAGCAAATCACATTTTCCAGTAAAGTATTTGCACCTGCTGAGATGCACTTAGACCATGTTTCGCGATAGATTTGTCACATTCTTCGTAAAAGGTATAACCTTTTTGTCTGTTGTTTCTCATTGATTTATCATGTTTGTCATTAAAAATTGTTTCTGCATTATTTGGTTTCGTTTTATTTTAGTTTTGTTTTATTAATTACTTTTATAAGGAATATAGAGTGGGATTTTGATTAAAGCTTAATTCTAATCTCAATAAACATTCTTTGGAAAATTAATGAACAAAATAAGTGGGAAAAAGCAAAATTATGAGGAGTTCTTTCTGTATTCATATTGCCCAATTTATGTATGTGCATTCTCCCACATTGTTTTTAAAAGCTGTCCATGTCTTGTTGAGTGGGAGCAAATTCATCAATTATTTAAGTCATTGTAATACTCGCAAAGAACAGGCACTTTCAGCTTGAAGATGTTTATAAATAATGAGACATTTGTTCGTAAAGTGTTTTTTTGTGATACTTTTATGTTTGGTGTTGAATTGATATGGCAAGTTTTTCTTTTATCCCTAATGTAAAATAGAAGAAGCATCCAGCTTATTATCAAGATCCATCTGCTCAGAAACGTTTGCAAACACTTCAAATGATTAATTATTAAACATCTGTCTTGAAACTGATCGTATATGTGACAGCTGATGTTTCACCTTGCCAAATTGTATGGAAATAAAAGCTTGATTTTTCTTAATCAAAGCATAATTATTGGCAAGGTTGTGTCTAAACTGCCTTTTCAAATCTAAAGCAACTTGTTTGTTATTGTTTAATGTTCTTATCCTATCATGTAAGGAACATTAATTACTAGTTGCTTTCAAAAGAAAATCAGTCTCTGTTGATTATTTTGTTTCATCATTGTAATCAACAAAACTGCTGTATCTGCTTTCTTAACTTTTCTATTTTTCTGGATTATTTGAATTTAAGGCAGTTGAATTAGGATATGTTCTATAATCATTTCTATGTTAAAAGTGGGATCTGTCTTTTGCAGAGTGCCCATTTAAGTCAACATATACTGGTAAACCATTGATAAATCCAGAAATAGCTGTATCATCAAATGATCCAAATATTAAGCCTGGAAATGCTGGTCATGCAGATGGGAAAGATGCCAGTAAGTATTCTAGCTGGATTATGATTTATGATTTCAGCATAAAATTAACATGAATTTTCAAATTGATCAACAGATCTCCACTTGTTAATCCAAAGCTAGAAATCCTTGTATAAATGTTTTTGATTTTTTGACAAAGTGCCACGTTTTAGTCCAAGATAGAAATTCTTTGAAATGTTGACAATTTAAAAAAAATTGCCACTTTTATTGCAAAATTTTACACAAAAATTGAGAATTGTACATAAATTTGAACAGACTGTGAAGGAAACTTTGAAAGAATCTTGTTGCTTAGAACTATTTATTCCTTGCCTGGCATTATGTACATTGTTTCAATTTTGGGTTTTGAGGCTTGTTTCTGCTGCATATCAGTTGTCAACCAGTTCCAGTACCATTTAGTGACACTCTTACATAGCAATGTCTGGCTCTTGTTTACAAAAAAGCACCTTGCTTGCTTTAAAGTTATTATGCATTTGAAGGCTCTTTTTGGTAACAAATCTGACCTGCTGAGCTACGGGCTTTGGCCCAGGCACTACAGCTTATTTCTCAAGTTTTTGACTGTAAAGTGACATTTTGATTATCAACTGGTTGAGCTCTATAAAATGAAGAGGCTTGTAAGTTTAGGTTGCAGATCCCCTTTAGACATGTATATATAAAATATTTCAAAATTAGAAAATTAGAACCATATATATATATATCTATATTTGATTAAATTAGACAAGAAATGCAGATGTGAAAAACGTAAATAAAATAGTTAATATTACCTCTTTTTTTAACCATAACATTGATAATACAATTTCCTTTTATTCCAGTATTTTTATGAATGTATTTTTGTGATGTATTCCAAATACCTTTGATATTTTATGTATTGTAATATATCTTCACCTTTTTGATGTAGCTGCTAGGAAAGTCTTCAGCTGATTATTATCTTAGCTGTCGATTAAACCTTAGAACTGAGATAAACAATTGACAAATAATACTCCTTATGGTTTATCAGATGTTAAATTAAAGGGTAAATATAGAGTATAAAGGTATGGTTTAGGAAAATATTCTACCCTGTGAATGAATGAAAATTTAATCTACAATTTTGCTAATAATGATTTCTGAGTCACTTTTGATTTGTGTAGGGACATGTCCATTTAAAAGTGGAAAATATGTGCTTAAAAGCTTGGATGACGTCGAAAATGCATTTGATGGCAAAAAGAATGTTGTAGAGAATGAAACCAAGAGTTTGGACAGGGTAGATAAACAAGCTAAACAAGGTATATATTGTCAGCAATATTTTATTTTTTGCTTCCCAATACATTTTTCTGTCTTAGTATATTTCTAAGACATTGTCCAATCAAGTTTTCCTTCCGTTTGTCTAACACTTATATATATATATATACAGTAGAATCCTGTTATAACGTACTCGGTTATTACATACTTTCGGATATAACATACTGGTGTGTTTGGTCCTGGCAAAAGGTGTGCTTGGTTTTAGTCAACTTTTACTTACCCTCGTTACAACATACTTTGGATATAACGTACTTAATATGCTGGTCCCTTAAAGTACGTTATAACCAGATTATACTGTATATATATCTTTACATTTCAACCATATCAAATTTAAATAAACCTTGTCTTCAAAACTTGCAAAAACAAGACTTTAACCTGATGTAGAATGCAATCAATTTTTTTACAATATTGCATTATAAATTTTGTCAAACAAATACAGGGATTAATATGTTGGAAAAAGTCTGTAAGAACTGTAGGAATCAGTCATAATTGTGAGTTTTAGGGGCAAATTTTCTCAGAAGATGTCTGTACACATTGCAAAGTTGTTAAAACACATGTTTAAGTATATGCATTTAATTATGTGTGTGTTATTTGCAGATTCGAATGGATTTGGGTATCTTGCATCCCATTTTAATTACAATGCATTCTTTAATGAGAAGATTAAAGAGAAAAAGGATGACCACTCCTACAGAATTTTCAAGAAAGTAAATCGCCTTGCTACTCAGTTTCCTTATGCAGATGACTTCAGTTCAAAGGAAACAAAAAAGGTTGCAGTCTGGTGCAGCAACGATTACCTTGGCATGAGCCGGCACCCAGATGTTGTCCAGTCTGCCAGGTAATACCAGGTCTTTTTGCCATTGTATATACTGATTTTTCTGGTCACTTTCAATTTTCTTATTCTTGAACTTTCATAATCTGACATCTAATCTTAGATGGACAATAATTCCCTTGTAATTTATTTTGAAAGTACTGTCCTTTCGTGTCAGCAAAGATTAGAAGGTATTTCTTTCACATCAGAATCAATGAAAAAATGTTTGTTACCGTTCTCAACTTCGTCATCATTTGACTGACTTCCTTTTCAATCACTTTCGTTTTCTTGGAGGCTGTTGTTCTTCTCCAAAAAAAGTCTTCTTTACGCTCCTAATCCACTTTTTCTATTGGTTGAGAAATTTTTTCTTTCACAAATTTTTTCTCTTTTATTATTCCTTGAAAGTATTTCTAAGATTGATGTCGAAATAGATATCACGAAATGCCTCATGTTAAGACATGTATGTTGTCCTATTACTGTTGTGCCATATGACATTATGATTTGAATGTAAAACGAGTTACCAAGCACCCAGGCAACTGCCAAACGAACTTTAAAATTACGATTGGCCCTCTATAGCCTGCCAAATACTGACATTCTTTGACGAAAATGTTGAATTTTGAATAACATCTTTATGTCATGACGCATATATCCCGTCCTTTTGGGGAAAGAAACATCTAACCAAGATCTGAACAATTGTGCAAGTAAGATTCAACTGATTCAACAAGATTTAAAGGGAGAGGTCTATGAATTATCTGGTCTCAGAATATGTGAAAAGGAACCAGATCTTTAGTGCAATCCTTGAAAGGGAATGTAATAAAATTCTGCTTAAGTGACTGGCTATGAAATATCTTTATTAGTTTTGTTAATGAGAGTGTAAAAAAGTGTATATGGTGCGTTATATTATACGTTATATTATATTCGTTTTAAGGGTCTACCAAAGCTGATATTATTGCTAGTTTCCCTTTTGTGTGTATTACACCACCACCACATTGTTCTTTAGAAGGGCTTTGGAGAGCACGTTTAAACGCACTGCATTCAAAAGTGAAAAATATTGTTTGAATTTAAAAAAAAATTGAAATCTGTGGCATATGTTAATATTACGATGTGGAAAATATGCCTTCAAAATTACATCGTATAATAGCTGTCAAGGTGTGAAATGCTAGATGTCTATTGAGGCTGTTCAACTCTTTACGTCTATCCTTGTTGTTTTTTTATTGGATGTTTGGCAGAAGACACGCATTGTTCAAACAAGGCACACTATTTTTTCGGTAAAGATAACACTGTTTATGACGGTAGTAATTTAGCTGATGGCTTTTAAATAACATCCTTGATGTTATTCGTCTCCATATAATGAGCTTTTTGTAAGTTTGCGGTATGGCTTTTACGACGTGGTTCAGAGTTTGTCATCGTCACCCTCGCTTCCTGCTGAACCAATTTCCATGCGAACTTCGTAACAAAAACCGCTTGCGGTGTTAGTAATATATATATATATATGAATATATATATTAATATGTGTTGTATCAAAATTTATATTTATATATATATATTTGTTTTGATACCTGGTGATACGCAATGATATTTGCAAGGCGTAATTTCCTTTTTTTGCTGGTATATGTTTTTTTTATATTCTCATAACATTTTACAAAACAGACAACTACAAGACGATACCACAGGGAGCATGGAAATACATAGCAACCCTGTGGCCATTACATTAAACATATTTGATTCAAATTAGAGTTGCATTAAATGCTGCAAATTACATGTTGCAGATTACTAATAACAAAAAACATTTACAATTTGGATGTTAAAACAAAAACAAGGACAAACTACATTGACGAAACAAAACAAGAACAATGAAAGACAAATTACATAGGAGAGAAGATTTATAAAACTACTTAATGAAGCCTTTCAGAGGTCTGGTATATGTCCCCTGCTTGTTTCAAGATTTTGTAGTTCCTTTGATTACTTACAAATAATTTGCGAATTTTTTGTTTGTTTAGTTTGAAAAAATATCATAAGCCGCCCAATATCGAAATAAACAGACAAATATAAATTAAAAGTTGAAAGGGGAAAATTTTAAGACGATGCGAGATAAACGTCACTCGTCTTTTTTTCAGTCGAACATCCGAACATAAACAAGTTCTGTCAAAATCTTGAATAGATTTAAATCATTAAACATTCTCATATTTTGTTGTACTGATATGTTGCTACAACTGTAATACATATATATTTATATTAAGATATTATGTAATGTTTTTACATAATATCTCTCTAAATTTAAGTCGTTTTAGTCTCATGCCATAGTTGTTTCCTCTTTGCACAGTTAAAAAATCAACACAATTGCAGTTTGCAGTTAAACCAGTATAGATATACAGTATTTTTCAATTTTTTTGTAGGGATGTTATCAATAATCATGGTGTTGGTGCAGGGGGCACTCGAAACATCTCAGGCACCAGTTTATTCCATAATGCCCTCGAGAGGTCTTTAGCTGACTGGCACAACAAGGAATCAGCACTTCTGTTTACATCCTGCTATGTTGCCAACGATACTACCTTGTTTACTATTGGCAGTATGATGCCTGGATGTATTATCTTCTCAGATGAGGGAAACCATGCCTCTATGATACATGGTACGTTGTTTTCTTCTCATCAACAAGTACTTTTTCACGTCCAATGCCATGTTTCGGCATAATAATTTGATATGCTGATGACATAACAGTTTTCACCTAAGAAGCTAGCTTCATTGACTATACCTCTGCTTAAGTCGAACTCCTGATTGTCGGGCAACCCCTTATGTCGAGTTCAAATGAAGGTCCACATTTTTCCAATGCGATTTTTAGCAATTTTCCAAAAGTCAAATGTCGCGAATTTGATATTGCTAGTCCAGACTGATATGTCTTTTACGGAGTTGTCTGTAGGTCAATGCCATTTAATTTGAGTTTAATTGTGACATTATGTCGTATTGATGTGAATGAATGGGCCTCATTTACGTTAAAGTACTGCTTCAGTACGTCTTTTTACATCAGAAACTGTTTCTATCAAATATACAGTGATAATAATGTGCCTATCAACGTGCCAATCGAAACCAACTTCCAGTAATGCCAAAGATAAAAAAATCAATTGACATAGCAGGGCACAAAAAAATTTTTCCATCTTGCGACCAGACAAAAGACATGCATAAATTTTTCTTGCGAGAATAGGAGCTACATTTGTTTTGTCTTCATACTTTTCTTTTGATGAACATGAAAGAAACAAAGGTGCTTGCAAAAGTGTATATTTTAAAAAATTCCTGTGGAACTGTATTCATGGAAAATTTCCTGCGACCGCCCGGTCACATGGTCGGGTGGGTTTTCGTGTCCTGTGATATAGAAATGGTGATCTTGGGATCTATCAATAAGTATCTAGTCGTAATATAGCTCGTAATAAGACAATCCATGAAATTACGTCCCTGAATATTTGACGACCCTACCAAATGCGTGTGACATTTCTGTCAAGAGATTCGCTTCCGTTCTAATGCAGTATTTAGATGAGGGAAGTATTTTTCCATTTGCTGCCTAAAATCTTCTGATTTTTGGGTTTTTGTCAAATTCAATTTTAAATTATTGTTTTTGCTTCAAGTTTCTTGTAAAAAATGATTGCATCCCTTAATTTTCTTTAAACTTTTGATACGTTAGAGTATTCAAGTGCAGGTAGCAAGATCCAGTGTCACAGACCTTGCAGTCTACAATCCGGGACCAGGCTCGTGAGACACGTGCCATATACATGCTAGGTATCCTGATTATAAAGGGCAACCTATCGCCACTCCGCCTACCTGAATTATACGTTTGACGTTTGTATGTCAAAAATTCTTATTTTGTAAGGTATTAGAACAAGCAAAGCAGAGAAACAAATATATAAGCACAACGATCCCGCCTCGCTTGAAGACCTTTTGAAGAAAGCCGATCCGAAGGCACCAAAAATTGTTGCATTTGAAAGTGTGCATTCCATGTCTGGCTCTGTTTGCCCTGTGGAGGAGCTTTGTGATGTTGCTCACAAGTATGGTGCCCTGACCTTCGTGGATGAGGTAGAGCTTATATTATATGTGTCATTTCAAGTACACGCACCGTTTAAGTTGTCATTTCTTTTTACCTTAATTTCGCTTATTTCAGTTGCTCATGTTGAGATGGGATGTTATTTTATTGATTGACACAACAACAGTAAGAGGGCATGCGTCTTGGGTATAGGCCCTTAGCGCACTGAACAAGATTTCAGGAAAAACTTGTGACGAACTTAATCTCTATTGATCATAGACAAAAGGAATTAAGCTTGTTAGTAAACAAATGCTGTTTTTCCAGTGCGCCCACCCAAATTCCCACTGAACCAAATTCACTAATCCCTCAAAGGTTCCGTCGTCCTGCCCCAAAACAGGACGAACTTTGGAAAAAAAGCAATTAACGCATTTTTCTGGCGCCACACAATACCCAAAGTCAAGTCATTCTTTGTTTTAAACCACTTTCCATTAACTAAACAGCAAACAACCATTTCACACACGAACTGCACTACGCTCGAATTTCCAAGCGAAAATCGGATTATCTTTGTCAAACTTGGAAAAGTATTATCGATTTTCCATTTTGACAAAGATAATGAGTTTTATGTCAGAAACCTGTGCGCCCAGGGCCATACCACATAATTTACAAAAACCACGTGGTTTGGGCAATTGTCTAGCAGGCTATCTATTACAAAGACTCCCGCTTTGTCAAGAATTTCTATATAATACCTCGTTATGTCTTTACATCCATTTTGACATAGCTTCTCCCTTGATTTTTTCGTTCTTGTTCGTTGATTTTTACATGATGCCAGGGATGAAAATATTGTATAATTGTGTCTACAGTATGGCTGATAAAAACGTAAAAGGTCTAAAACTGTATCCATCTTAGATTTAAATTTTATTTTCATTCATTTCATTTGAGCTATCTTATTCATGCAAGGATTTGTCGTCAGAAGGTCGTGCAGCTATGAAAGCCAGAAGCCATTGCACGCAATTTTGATTACTTGTGTAGTGACCAGAATAAGTTCAAGGCATTGAAAGAATCCAATTGAATCGAAAGAAAAGAATGAGGAAAATTTTCCTAACGCATTTATTACTGGAAGGCTACATGAATTTTTAGGTGATTACTTTTCTGACCCGAGCTTCCCAGCCAATCTTATCAACCCGACCTTTTGACCCTGACTTTTCGGACCGAGCATTTTACTGGACCCGAGTTTTGCTCTACTTTATTTACCAATTTGTTTATATCTATCTAGGTCCATGCCGTCGGGTTGTATGGAGAACGTGGTGCAGGAATCGGTGAACGTGACTGTGTGTTGGACAAGATGGACATCATAAGCGGGACACTTGGAAAGGCCGTTGGAGTTATTGGCGGATATATTGCCGGAAGCGCCGCACTAGTCGATACTATCAGAAGGTACTTTGTCATTTTGATTATGAATTGACAATACGCTGCCTAATGTTCAGAGCCACTGGAATTGGGAGAGAGGGGGGAAAGGGGAGAGAGGGAAAGCAGGGAAAGGGGGAGGGGGGTGATTATCACCCTAAAACACTAATCTAGGCCTGTCTAAACTAGACAACATTGTCATGCGAAAACTAAATTACATCGTATTGCCCGAAATTTATCGCACTTGTGTTTCAGCACGTGCAAATTTTTTTCCCAACTTTGTCGTCTGACACAAATATACATTCTAAGGTAGCCACCTTGGCTAGCTTTATGGTAATTGGTACCAGTTTTAACAGAAGAAGGAAACATAGCTTCTGTTTGCCATGACCCATCAAGCCTTGAATTTTTTTAGTTATGGATCAGGGTTCATTTTTACCACTGCGTTGCCGCCAGACAAGGCCGCCGCTGCTTTGACCTCTCTTCAAATCCTAAAGTCTGCAGAAGGAGTGGAACTCAGAGAACGTCATCAAAAGGCCGTTGCTACAGTTAGAAATCAGCTTCTTCGGCGTGGCCTTCCGGTTTGCTTCGCACCAAGTCATATCATTCCAGTTGCTGTAAGTGAACTTTGCTTTGTTACAAACTGCATTGTGATGAGAAGATGCGGCACCTTTGTCTTCTTGTCGAATCTTATCATCACATTTTTAAAATTCTTAACACGCGAGTTTTAATATGAAATACAAGAGTTATAATTTATACAACTTATGCAATCTAAAATACACCTATAAACATAATTTTCCAGTCATAGCTGAAAGTTATCATGGTCAATCTCCATAAGATCGAATCTAAGCGATGCTTCGAGCTGCCAGTGATCAATTCGAATCTGAATCTCCGTTCGTTCGCCAGATCGCCAGCGACCGCATGGAAAGGTTTTACCCCTATTTTGGCGCCTTCAGGTGCGCCTTATCAACGGCAAACATCGTAGATTTTCACCATTTAGCGTTCCTTGTAGCGCTAAGGCAAAGAAAAATCAAAATGAAATTCAACTTGGTCTGAAGATGAAACTTTACGATCATGTAAATATTCTTTTGATATTTCATATATTATATAAAGTAAAAGACCAATCATTTCGATCTCTTGACGTTTGCTCCATGCGGTCGACAATTTTGCCTCGAAACTGTCTGAGCAACGAGGATAGTTCGCCACCTTGCAATGTGCACATAATTTCATTACTCTTTACCTGGCCCTCGCTGAAAAGTTCAACCAAAATGAAGAACATAGCAAAAAGCGGCGGCCAGCGTATAGCTTGAAATAATCAAGTGCGCATGCTTGCTGTTCGCTGCCTTTCGCTGAGATTCGATTTCATGGAGATCAGACTATATGTTACAAAAAAGACCAGATCCCAAGACAATATTTTTGTCTTTTCTTTTGTCCAACATCCATAATAAAAAGTAGTTTTTGTCACTTTTGTGCCACGTAAGATGCAAATATTGTGCTGTTAATCTAAAGTTTCTTTCAGGTTTCTTCAATCGTTACTGTTTAAGTGTTGTGTTGTTAATCTTAAATGTTTCTTTCGCTCTTTAATTCCTAAAATCGGAAATATTACACCAATGCTGACAGTATTATTCACGTTCCTCTCAAAGACCCGTTCCCTGTTGCCACTAGCTGTGATATGTTGCCACATTCTGGTCCACACGGACCTCAAAGATCTTTTCCTTTAAACTTAGTACCTAAACACTGTGGCGGTTACTGTAATTTCTAAATGAAGTTTGATCGTTGATTTTAGGTAGGGGACCCAGACCTTTGTACATACGTCTCAAACGCGCTCCAAGACAAGCACAACATTTACATACAAGCAATCAATTACCCTACTGTGCCACGTGGCAGTGAGAAGCTGCGAATTGCTCCAACCCCGTGGCATAGCATGGCTCTTATCGGTGAACTTGTTGAATCTTTGGATGAAGTTTGGCAAGAAGCTGGCCTTCCCAAGTTGCATCCAGTTTGTACTGACAGCTGCGATTGCCGAATGTATTGCAAAGAGAATATGGAAGCTACTAACAGAATGCCGATCACAGTCATGTCTTGAGAAACACGACTTTTAGATAACTCTTAATCAATGTCTTGGGAAACATGACTTTTAGATAACTCTTGATCATTGCAATGTATTACTTGTAGCAGTGCTTAATATGGAATTCCATTTTTCGTGCATTTCTCATAACCATGATAATTATGTTTTCTGGCTTATTTTTATGCTTGCTTCACGTTTGAAAATGTTTAGTAATATTGTGTTTTAAAAAAACAGCCAAAAAGCATCTATCCGTGTTTTCCGTTTGGAGCTGGAAACACTACTAAAGATTATAAAACTAATCTTAAAATCTTCGGCTCGTTTGTTAAACCAGATTTTTTATTGAAATAGCACCTGTAGAGATAAGGATCTACGCCCTCTATTGTTTTCTCCAGTACATTTCAAAACTGAGCGGGCGTTTTTTCGTGTACATCTTGTCACTATCCAACTAAAATTTTCTCACGTGCTATTCTCTTTACATGACGTGTCTAGATGTCACTTGATAAGTAGCCTCCTTGCCGTGATTCTTTATATGTCAATGTCTGGATCTGGGAATTTGCAGGATGTTGTCCACTGAATCCTTTCGAATTTCCAAACCTATCGTTGCCGGAAAATTACTTGAACCTACAGTGCCTTCTTTGAATTGAGAGAATGCATTCCTTGTTAGTAAAAGTTTTATGAGATGAATCTCCTTTTTGGAGAAATCGACGTTGAATTGATGTGATAATGTTGGGAGATTTTGCCATTGCGCACAAGCCCTGTTCTTTTATAGGAGATTTTTGAAACAAAATTCACACATTTTGAAATCTCCTCTTTAGACAATGACAATTAACTGGTGTTGACATTAAGTATATATGCTTAAACTAGGGCCAAGGGTGCTAAGGGTTTAATTTTATTTTTGTATTTATTATTTATTTCACAACCTGGTATATGCTTTAGTTTTCTAGGTAGAGGTTATTTGAATGCTGAAGTTTTGCTTAGAATTTCAATTCAGAAAAATTACACGTACCACCATCATAAAATTTACATTATGTGAACAAAATTAATTTAATTAATTAATTAATTAATTTTGGGCGTTGGTACAGTTGAGTTTGCTTGTTTCTGGCTCTATTCGTTTTCTCTTGCCCTTTATAACAGAACCTAATAAGGAATGGCGGGGGGAGGGGGACGGAAGAGGAAATCTTGTTGCTGGTGAGTTCGTGGGTCTTGCATGAATTCTAACAAGGTTTAGTGCAAACTTTTGTTTTTATGGCTGATCCGAAAATGAGCCTTAATGGTTCTCACTAGTAACGCATTGAAAGATCAATGTCACAAGCGAACGACCCTTGTTTAGAATGAAAAATCATTAATCGACAAAATTTTCCACCAAAGAACTTTGTTCAGAAAGGTTATGTTATTGGGTCATTCTCGCTTTATATCTTCACTAAAACAGCGCGGGGCTTCCTCGTAGTAATGGAAAAACCTTTACTCGACTTGACGCGACTTTTAACAGCTTCATTAGTTAAAAGAAATTGAGCTTGATGCGATGTTTTGTTGAAAAATCCAAAGAAACTCCTTCTTGTTCAAGATTGTAGTCACCCATATCAGTTACGAGCGGCTTCTTCCAGTAGAGACATCACAGAATCAAATTTGAACGATATATTTTTTAATTACTTTTAGCAAGCACCCGCATAGAGAAAGATGAAACTTTGCTTTCAGACGCAAAATATTTATAAGGTAAATTTGTGTTGTTTTCTTTCATCAGATTTTGCAAAACTTTAGTATAGCGGCAATGTTGGAAATTTTTGACTCCGTGAAAGTAAATAACAACGCGAAAAAATCGTACTTTTCTTTGCAAGGTTTTATAAAGCACTATGGTAATGTATATAAGTCCAAAACCGTAGCCCCATGTGAGGGCGATGGAAATCTTGGGGCTGTTTGGTAGTTTTTAGAAATCTACTTTGAACAGATAATACAAGGATTGAAAAGTATAGCCAGAGATACTACCTCATTCTAACAAGCTCAAAGACATACAATCAACAAAATGAGGCTCAACCTCGTTCCACTTACTTCATCATGAAGGCAGTGTAATCTAAGGGGATTGGAAAGAGCGCAGGGTGAAGCTGCGCAGGAAATAGTAGTAAAAGTTAGTAGTACAATGGTTTATGTTGTGGTTGTTATGATGTCATCGTTCCTCCAAGTGCCCTTGCCTAAAAATCGGTATTTCTGTCTTAGGCTGATGTCGCAATCAAAGGTTTCTTCAGTTTTTTAAATGGTTGCGCACGTTTTATTTTATCCATGCAAACATGTGGAATGATATCAAGAGGCCTAATCAATCAAATTGAACTTTCAAGTCTGGATCTGAAAAACAGGCAAACCCTTGTGCACTTTAAAGAATTGCGTGTTTCTTAGTATCTGAATAAAAAGAAAATAATAGGAAGAATGAACTGAAACTGATTTCCGCTATTCAGTAAGGCCAATGCTTCAGAAAGTCTTTTAAAGATTGCTAACTTCAGAAGTGCGTATTGTTTGAAAAACTTTGTCATAAGTGCAATTAGTTGGAAAGACTGCAACGATAACAGTCCACTGTGAAAGCTTTTGAATTGAAGGAGTCGTCTTTTTGCTTTACCTGAATCAGAACATGCAATTTTTCAGCTTCTATGATCCAGCTACATTCTAAACGACTGGCGTAGTTTACAAATAGAGTAGAAGATGATGGTGTAAAGACAGAACAACTTATGCAGAACAGTTTGATTAAATTTATTAGGCCACTTGATATTATTCGACATGTTTGCATGGGTAAAATAAAATCTGTGCCACCACTTTAAAGAAACTGGAGAAACATTTGCTTTCTTCTTTTGATGTAATTGTTTCAAATAAGTCCAATGGTTGTTAGAGCGATAATTGTCTTAAAATTGGAAGTTTATATTCAATGGAGTGCTCACGTTTTCTTTAATAAATTGAAATGGCTTATTGCTTTGAATTTAGCTTGTCAAAGGATTTAATATGAAGTTATATTTGATTATAAATGCACATACTTAGTATGAAAATCAAAAGAATTTTGTTAATACTTGTAGTGGAGTTGATACAGATGCATTTTGGCATAGCCAAACATTAGAAATCTATGGCCTATGCTTCGGCTTCGCACATTGTGATTACGGTATAGAGCATACACACCTTTCAGCTATTATCATGACCCAGTAATTTTCACTGTTTTTTGGTCGCGATGTTAACCTTGCTTGATATTAATAGTAAGAATGTGATTTGTAAAAATAATTTTCTTTGTAAATAGGCATAAAATTAAGAAGCCACCAGTTCTGGCCAATTTAAGTTACTTATAAAACGTGGGTTTTATCAATTCTATGGTTTTATCTCTAATCCTTGCTAATATTGGTGAAAGAAACTGGGTAAAAGGAAGCCAAAACTGCGCAATCCTCTGTGTATACCAGGTGTTCAGAAACCAAAAATTTGCAACTGTTCACGCTTAGATTTGAGTGGTCTCTCATAATCTTGCGTGTTTTTGTGAGCTACTCAGTGACCTATTGTCATACTAGTGCAAAGCATTATTGGCTACAGTCAAGATTGACTCAAAATTTGACCTAAAAAGAAAGTTATATCGCAGCGTTTTTATCATAATTTTGGAGTCTATGAATTGTGCTTTAATTTTAATCTTCATTTGCAACAAAAACAATGCAATATGTATATATCTAGCAGTTTTTTTCAAAACAACTGATTTTGCATCACATAGACAAAAACTGCAAATACTAGTTCTTGGAAAACCTCTTTTGAAAAATTAGTCCATGAGAAAAGTGCCAAAAATTCACTTCACAATGAGACGCATTTCATGTAAATATAAAGGGGGCTGAGGCAGAAAAACTCATACCTTGTGCCGTAGCTGGAAAGAAATTTAAAATCCCCATTTTATCTTGTCTCTGTTTCTTCATACTTACAGTGAACGCCCCTGATATCCGTAGATTAGCACAAGGTGAGATGAAGGTACTACCTGAGGCTGCACCATGGTTGCCGCCGAAGGAAAAAATTTTCTTTATCTAATGCTGCAAATTCGTCGGAAATCGCATTATTTGAAGCAAATTTTGATGATAAAATCTTATTCTTAAAATTGAATATCCACTGGGGGAAATTGATGGTTTTGATCGACGTCTACCTTTTTTACCTTACGCAACATGAGTGCATAAATCTTCAAATTTGGGACACAATTTTCAAAAATCTGATGATAGGCACAAAATTGGTACTGTCCCGGTCTTAAATATCAAATAAAGATATAATTTATACCAATTTTGACCAATCTCAATAACCAAATTTGGCCCTTGAATTTTAGGATTTTAACTGACAAAATCCGAACAGCAAAACACTCTATGGGGGGTATCGGTGAATCATGAGGAATCATTTTGTTTTGTGGAAATCTAGTATTTTCTTTACAAAAGTGAATTGCCTCTCTAATTTACGATAAGTACTTTAGTCCAAGTAATTCATTTTGCAAAAAGTTTGAGAATTACCCACAGCTCAAGTTTGAGTCCGACAAAACAATGATTTTTCCGAAAATCCATCAAGGTTTGAGAGCAGAGGGGGCCACGGGCCCCCGACCCCCCCGGCCACGACGCCCCTGTGTCCTTTGCATTTTCATTACACTAGTGTCCAGTCCCCCAACTCAAATGTTGCAACTGATTTTGTTGTAAATTGTTTGAAACAATTATTTTGTATTCTATCAGAAATGGTAATAAGTACCCTTCTCTCGGTATTAAAGTGTATGAATAAGTTTGTGAGAAGTATAGAGAGTACGAAGAGGCATAACTTACTGGTTATACCTGCAGTTTTTGCTGATTATTGGCTACTTAGGCCTGGCTATGAAGAAGAATTCTTGACTTTACCTCTACTTGATTCAATTATTATACAGCAGAAATGAAAGTATTAAAATGATATAAATGAAAGCAGATTTAAGGGTGCTGACAACCTTATGCTTATTTGAATCACTGTAATCTTAAAGCTAATAAACAATCTAAGGGTATGATATGTTTCCATTAATCAGTAAACCATAAAGCCTTGCTGTATTGTTTTAATCGATGCTTTTTATCATGCATATACATCGATGTACATTGTAGGTAATTTTATTTAATGGTGCAAGAGCCAATGGTAAAGGGATTACAGCCTTAACAGTGTTTTCGCAAAACTTAACAATCTCTGGTATATTTTTGATTACACGTTCGCTCCGGAGATTACATGTGGTCAAAAATTTCCTTCTTTGGCATATTGTTGATCGTAAACTTGCAAACTTGGCTGGCGTTTTAAGCTTTATCATTTCATCTTGAAATAAGTATCTTATCTCAGCAAGCAAGAGCTTTACACTTAAAAACGTTTTTGACTGATTCTTTTTATTGGAAAAATAAAAACCTTGTTAAGGGATCGCAAACATCGGCTAAGTTTCTTTCAAAAAACGATTTTCAGATATTGCATTGAAACAAACAATTACCATCGAGGATATTAAGATTTATCGCGAGTCAACGGGATATCTTGCTCAAGGACCTAAGCTATAACATTATTCTCAATTTGTATTATAGTTAGCAGCTAAACACGATTTGTTTATACGCTGATGTATGAGTAGCAGGTTTGAGATGAGGGTCGACACATTTTCCAGATATCTTAGGGGTGTTGCGTTGCCACCAATAATTTTGTAATTTGTAAAATTGCCAATAGCTATGCCGAATCCTACAGGATTCAGTATGGATGCAAAAAGTCCTTTTTGCCTCCTCCCATAATCAAAACATTCATGCTTTGCCCTTTGCACAGTCTTCGCTTCTACGACATTAAATTAGTTTCATATCAGGTTAATTCTCATACAGATGACTCTTCTGTTTGCATGACACTACCCTCGAATTTGATGTTCACGTTAACCATAGTCGATTGAAAAAGCCGAATGAAATTTAGGTTTGCTAGTTTAGTTAGGAATGCTGGAACCTTGTGATTACCAGATTTCGAACATTGGATTATAAACCATAGTACGGTACTTGCAAAAATGTGTTTGACAATGGCCATTGTGAATCCTTGAACCCCCGAGACGTATCAATTTCAGATTGGGGCTAAATAG